CTCTGTCACAACCCTTGAGGTACGTGTGAGCCTTTTTCTGTCCGGCACAGGCTGGACAGCGACCTTCCGGTATCCTAACATAAGGCTTATTGGCTCCTAGAGCAGTCTCCGTCGCACGGAACGATGTACCTGACTTAGGAAGGTACTTCCTGGTGGAAGTAAAGCCTAGAAGGTCCAATACCAAATGGTTATTGGTACTAATCGGAAGAGGGGTTTTATACAAACCGAAAGCTTCACACGTTGCTAGGTCAGCTGTTGGACTACACTCGAGGGTCATTCTTAGATTTCTCATCTGTTCAATGGAGAACAAGATGGGGACTCTTCCCTGATCCAAAACTTCTATGGTTGTATCTCTTCTTGGAGTTGTGTTAAACCATAGAGTTACACGCTCCTTGATAAGAGCTGTTTCACTATCTGCGAAAGAGAACTTCGTGTTCGAAGGTGAAAAAGTGAAATCAATCATGCCTGGGGCATGTTGCTTCACGGCCTTGATAAGCCTGTTCACCGCATAGCGGGAACCCATAGCCCTAGTACAACCAGAGTCAAGAATGACAAAGGTAGGGCTCTTATCAAGATTGATCCGCTCGGTGAGAGCAGATAGGACGGTGTGCTGCAACGGAAACACTGCTGTTGCAGTCTCCACACCTTGCCCCTCGGATGGTTCAAAAACCTGGGGCGCGTAACTCACTGATGAGTTGTACACGGGTTCTTGGTGCGCGCTCGGATCTGTGCCTCTACCTGATGATCCTGCTTGATTTCTTCTCTTCTTTTTCCGTGTCTTTCTTCGTGAGGCTTGTGATGCATAGTATGTATAAGACGTTTGATCGTCATAAGCGGCATAATTCCAACTGGAGTCAGTATAATAACTGTCCTCATACCATGAATCCCAGCTCGGTGCGGTGGAACTTTCATAGGCCTGTGGAGATCCAGTTTGGTCTCCTTGTAAGGAGGCAGACTTAGCTGTATCCTTACCTTTGCCTTTTGATTTTGTACCCTTGAAGGAGCTTCCTTTATCTCCTTTGTCCTTTCCTTTTCCTTTGCCTTTTCCACCTTTTCCTTTTTCCTTTCCTTTACCTTTACCGAAATAGCTGGAATCAGTTGGATCATGTTCTGCCTGGTTGGCTCTCCCTTTTCCGCGGTATGACCTAAAACGGCCACGTCCTTTTCGCTTGCCACCCTTTGCTCTTCCCGGTGATCCGGGACGCATTCTTGGTCTTCTTCCCTTTTTGAATCTCCTTGCAACGAAGGCCTCATGGTCGTCAACTGTCCAGAAGACAGCTTCTTCATCCTCGGCGGCAAGAAAGCCTTCCTCAAGGGTGTCTTCGTCTTGGAGCCAGAATCCATCGACTCCGTCGTATTCACCCTGATCGAGGATGAGGAAGTTTCGACCTCCGCGTTTGCGGCGTTGATCTCTCCTTCCATGGCGGTCCTTCTTGTGAGAAGTGTGCCGAATATTGGGATCCTGCAGACCAGTTCTGGTCGTTGAGAACTGATCGAACATGGTCTGCCGTACTATAGGGTACGTGTAGGTCTCAATTCGGTAACCTTGGTTGGTCAATGCTGTTACCAACCTCTCACGTTGCATCTCATTTAGGTCGGACTGCACTAGGAAGAGGAGAGCTAGGAGATTATCATTTAGAGGAAACGCTCTTCGATGATTATCAAGGCGTTCCTTGTTCCATGTTTCGAAGAAACGTGCGGCGTATGTGTCTCTCTCGGTTGCATCCTGTAGGCGCATGAAGGTTTGATCTGCTTGCACAGCCTGCATGAAATCCGGATGGGCATCTTCCAGAATTATCTCTGGTAAGAGATCCATCCATGAGTTTCTCACGCGCTGTAGCACGATCTCAAACTTAGCAATCCAAGTCACAAAGTCTTGGTTGCCCTTCCATGCCTTGAATAGGCCGAGAAAACGCCACAGGAAAACGTACTGTTCTCCTTTCACGAAAAATGGACGCATCTTCTTCTTGAAGTAATCTACTCCGTCTGGGGCTGCAAGCCTTTCTCTGTTGAGTGATTCTTTTTGTACTGCGGCCAATCCGGAGAGCCTCGTCTTGAGAGACGGACCTCTTTTGGTATCATCCAGCGTTGTTATATCGCACCAGTCGTCAATCAACTGTTCATACTCAAACCACGAGGTGGTGCCATCATAGGCAGGCGCGATCTTGGGCGTTATGCCTAATGATGCAAGCATGCGGTCAGATGTTGCATATGACTGTGCGACATAAGTAGCTGGACCTTGGGAGGTCTCTTCGTTCTCATATCCCCCGGAGGACTGGGAACTGCCGTCGGCTTCGCTATGCGAGCTCGACATTGTGCTGCCTCTTATCCGCTTGGTTAAGCGTTCGGCGAGGCCGACCGCTGTAGCGGACTTTGTGAGGCGGGCGGCCCTTTCCGGGCTCCGCTACCAGAAAACTGTGCCGATACACCCCCAAGGGATACTCCTTGTAAGGAGGTGTATGACCAGTTTATTCCCTAAGGATCAAAGGGCAGCGCCCTGCACACGGACAGTAGTTGTTTTGTCTTGCTACGCAAGGAGAGCTTGTCTTGTCTCAATATGGTAAAACCACTGTGAGCCAATGGGCAGCGGAATGTATATGTATGAGCATGCAGCCATTGCTGTAGGTACCTGTTAGAGCTACCCCTTTAGAGGTTTATGGTTTCACCCCCCCTCCCCCCCCCCCCTCCCCCCCCCCCCCTCCCCTTCCCTCCCGCCCCTCCTCTCGCTGACAGGTGCGAGCTTTCCGACGACCCTCCCCCCCCCGCCCCCCCTAGGTGCGAGCTTTCTGGGAATTTCCGACGACACGAAACTGTAATGTAGCGTGTTTTCTCTTGGGGCTCGCTTTAAGGCTGCAGTACCAAGGGAGTTTCAAACCTGAGCTCGTAACCCTACACCCTAACCCCAGCCTGCTAATACTACTCACAATCATCCTGCTTCGTGTTGCTATGAACATTACTTTTACTATAAGTGCGATTCCAACTGTTACTTTTTTCCTACAAGAGCTTGCTGCAGATAGTAGCCACTCGCCGCATGCGCGTACAGCCGGGCCGAGACGGACGACGCGCAGCGTTTCAAATTAAGAGCGTGTTTGGGGGTATATTATACTATAGCTATAATAGGGAACACCAAAATAACATAGTATTGAACATTATTTGGGCTTCTATATTATGGGAGTTGGGCAAGTAAGAAGAGTGCCTCCTTGCTTTCCTGTTGATGGGGTCGGTCCTGAAACTAAGAACCAGCATTTGGGGTCTGTGTTCGGGTCCCTTGCTGCCTCAAAATCCATCAAACTCCCATACTTGGAGGATCATGGGACTTAGTAGGTAAGGTTATAAGTACTTTAATTGGGGGTCATAAGTAGTTAGAAGTATAGTTACCCTAATTATAACCATAGTTACTAAGTCCCATGATCCTTTAAGTAAACCCTAAAACCCCTCTTATAGAATCCCTATAGATCCCTATTAAGGAGCCCTTTTAAGGAACCCGAGTTACTAAGTCCTTTAAGTAACCTGGGACTTCTCTAAACAGTCTGCAATTCTGAAACCATACCAACCCGTCTATTCATGATGCCCAAGACAGGCTCTGAAATATCCTAAGACGGTTTAGGGTTTAGGGTTTAAGTTTAGGGTTTGGGTTTCAGGGTCACTGAGAACTTTTTGGCTGTTGACCCCCATCTGCTGAATCTCATGGACGCGGCCTTGAGCCTTGTTCTCCCACAAATACGTATCAACAATCACTAAGCCGATGCAACCCTGGACCCCTAAATCAAAGGGGAAAAGGAGGGACCCTTAATTTAATGGGGACCCCTACCCTATAATGGGCTATATATTGGGTATATAATAGCTACCTTCAGGATATGCACAAAAGGGTCCTTATTAAGGGTCCCTCCTGGTACCCTTGGACTAAACAAGGCAGAAGAGCATCACGGCGAGAATTCAGACCGCCTCCGAAGAAGGCTGCGGCCAGCATGATCCATGCAAGTGTCTTCCAGTGCGCCATAGCAACGGCTCCGGAGTCAGGGTTTCGTATATTAGGGCCCAAAAAGCACATAAGCAAAAAGAAGGATAGGGATATCATCCATATAAACCCCCTTGTAATGAAGCCCAATAAGGCAGGGATATCCCCATAAAATGCTTATGCTAATGTGCTTTTTGGTGTCCGTATATATGAGGTTTAGGGTTTCGGGTCTACTGTAGGGTTCGGGATATAGGGTTTGTGCCTTGGGATATGGAGCTTAGAGTTTTGTGCGTGAGATTTGAAGTTTGACGTTTCGGATCTAGGGAATCTAGGGCGCAAGCTATTGCGGCGGACCATGGTCGTGAACAATAGTAGCAAGTGACAAACAGCCAGCTCTGTCAATAATGTCATGCTTACAGGAAAGCCTGTACGAAGAGCACCGAAACGACGGTCAGCATCAACAGCGCGAACTACGACAAGACATGTCTTCCTGCCTGGTCCTATACTACCATTTGAGATCCTCGTAACAACCTGGAGTTGAAGAGCTCTGTATCCCAACCCCAAACCCTAACCGCCCTCGCAACAGAATCTGAACCCCATTTGGAGGTTCAGGGGCAGGTAGAAGTGAGGCTATAAGTAGGTAACTTGAGTATAGCCTATAATATTAGAGAACTTATACCTCAACTTATAACTACCCATGAACCTCCCCCAGCCGCCAAACCTTGCTTCAGGGTCGTCCTTATAAACTCTTATATCTACAGAATTCCGGAACTCCAAGCCTTAATCCTATACCCTCAAACCCAAATCCTAAACCCAAAACCCTATGCAGCCTAAAACCTAAACGCCCCTTTTCGGCACTAATTCCCTCACCCAAAAACTCCAAGTATACAAAAAGTACCTACTTCGGGGTCTAAAGTCTATATGCATGGTACCTACTTTCGGCTATTTGGGAGTTTCCGAAAATTGGGGACCCTAATATCGTACCCTAAATAGTAGGATCCTTACTGTAAGGACCCCTAAAACAAAACAAACTCCCAGTCGCCATTGGCGCGGCGAACGTGGTGCTCTCCAGCGTTAGCCGCGGTTCCCGCTGGAGCCAGTCCTTCCGAGTGTTTATAGATGAACGGTTGTCAGAATTGGGGTCCCTTTTTGGGTACCCTAAATAATAGGTGCCGTGTTATAATAATGAGCTAAAAAGGGACCCTAATTTTGACAATTACCCAAATAGTTTCGGGTTTATAAGGGCCTAAGAGGGTCTTGGGCTGTCTGTGGGAGGGCTTCGGTTTTAGGGGCTAGGGTTTGGGATCTCACTGCAAGGGTCCAGGAGCCCTAGGATCTAGCTTTTGCCATTTTGAATTTAGGAAGCAGCGGTGTGCAAGGACATTTTGGTGCTTAAGAGGTCATCTGAGGGTTGCTGTACCTACTTGGAGGATCATGGGACTTAGTAAGTAAGGTTATAAGTGCCTTAATTGGGGCTATAAGTAGTTATAAGTATAGCTACAATAATTATAACCCTAGCTACTACTGCTGATGGCCAAAATCCTGCATTACCCAGAATAAGGAATATACCATAATGCTTAGAGTCCTTAGGGTCATGCAGGATTTTGTCCATCAACAGTACGTCCCATGATCCTTTAAGTACCGGGATTCCGCGAGGGCTCCAGTAGAAGTGACCACCCTAAGGCTCCGGGACCCTTGTCGTGAAATCCCAAACCCTAGCTCCCAAAGCCGAAACCCTCCCCCAGAAGGCCCAAGACCCTGTTTGGAGCCTTAGGGCAGGGATGAAAAATCTGATTGATCCTAGGTGCTTCGAAGTATAAGCTGGCCCAATTATGAGGGCAGCCCTGCTCAGTCTTAAAGGGAGACCCTTCAAACTGAATGGGTAGACAAGTACTACTGAGCCACCCATGTAGAGTTATCTTTGTGGGTGGTTGTCAAATTTATGGTCTCTTTTTGGCTCCCGAATATAGTAGGGCACCTCATATTTAGGGCACCCAAAAAGAGACCATAATTTTGAGAACCACCCATGCAAAGACAGCGACAAGGTTTGGGGTCGGGCTTCGCTTTCGACCCTGAGTACTGAACTCAGGAGGAAGGAACCACCAAAACCCTATTCTGATTATTAAGGCCCTTATACTAAACCCCCCCATAATCCCCCTTCTAGTACCCCTTCTAGACCCCTTTAAAAGGAGCCCTCAAAACTGTCAAAGGAACTGAGGGAGGGAATCCTGGGAAGCCCAGCGGGTGACTGAAGGACTTATCAAAGGGGAAAAGGAGGGACCCTTCATGGGGACCCAAATGGGCTATATCATGGGTATATAATAGCTATATTCAGGGTATATATATATATATATATATATATACGGTATATATCTGGGGGTCCTTATTAAGGGTCCCTCCTTTTGCCCTTGGAACTTATAGAAGGCTCGACTATGAACCCCAGGGAGCACTCCTCCCGTGCTGACATTGCCTTCCAAATCAACTGTAGCAAATCCTTGCTTCGGGTAGACATTCGTGCTGGTATCTGATGTAAGCATGGTATATTATACTTATTATACTAAGGGACCCCCAAACGTGTAGGGTTTAGGGTTTATGGTTTAGGGTTCAGGAGGGGAGGGGGTTGTGAGGCCTTCATGGCCCTAATAAGGGCTTGATAAGGGTCCAACATGGCCTGTTTCAGGAAGTATAGTACCCCACCCCCCTCCTTCTTACTTCTTACCCCCCACGGGTCCCTATGACGACATGAAGCAAAAACTTAGGGTTCAAGGGTTTCGTGTTTAAGGTGGCTACCACTACTGTAGGACTGCATGTAGGTCTAAAGTACCGACAATAGCTAGGCAACTCAGAACAGCGATTACCCAGTTTAAGAAAGCCGCAACCACATATATATATATATATATATATATGTATATGTATATGTATACATACATACATACACACACATACACTAAACGCTCCCAATCCCGTCTGAACTTAGGTGAAAGGCTGAGGAAATCTCGGAAGCTCCTGCCATCGCACGAGAAAGCATAGGTGGGCGATCAGCGCCGCACCGCCTCAAACGAAGGGAGCTGAACAACCTGAATAAGATTGTAGGGACTATTGCAGTACAGTCAAAACAAGGCCTCAAACGCAGATCTGCCATTATCCCTCACCGCGGTCTTCGGAGATGCTTGCAACTTACATGGCTTAGGGATCAGGGTTCTGAAGTCATCGGGCTTACCAAGTCTTCACGGAGTAGGGCCACGCAAAGAGATAGACACCCTAAGCCCCAGGTTCTAGACCGCCAAAGAGTCCTAGGTACTGTTTTGGGGAATATTTCCCCAAGTCATAATAGTAATTCCTAATATATAGAAACCCTGCATTCTACTATATGGGTACTTCGGACCCTTCGGGACCCTAAGCCGGAAGCCCTTGACCCTGAATCCAAAACTTGACTCCCAAGAAATAGCACAAAAGCCCAATGCGCATTAATCACAAAAACGACCATGTGGTACCTATAATTAGGGGGCATACAGTACAAAATGTGATGACTTAGGAGTCATATTCCCCTGCGGAATGGGATGGACTCCGTATTGGGCTCACTGGGTACCCATGACGCAAGTGGATGATCATCACCTCCAGGGTGCGCCACCAACGATGCCGGTGTCCGAGATGAAAGGGATGACAATGATGATGCAGAAGAAGTTTAAAATGAAGAGTACTATGATGATGATGTTGATGATGCTGATGGTGCTGGGTGCTGGTGCTGTTGCTGCTGGGGTTGCGTGCGCGTGATCAGCATGGTTCACATGCAGCGGTGCGGGTTTCGAAAGCTTGAAGGCCATCGATCCCGGACTTTTGCTTGACGATGAGGACTTGGCGTAAAATCGTTGACGACAGCCGCATGGAAATGATAGGAAACTCGACTGCCGAAGGACAGGATCCGCCATTGCAAATAGAAAGGAACGTACCACTTGGAGGTTCATGAGTAGCTATAAGTGGGTTATAAGTACGTAATCATCATTATAACCCATATCAGGGGACTTATAGCTCCACTTGCAACTACCCATGAACCTCCAAGTAGGCCCTAAAACCTATATACCCCTATAGAATCCATATAGATCCCCTTAAAGGGGGCCCTTAAAGGAACCCGTATACCTACCCATGAAGCTCCAAGCAGAGTTCTCCTGGCTTCAAGGCCCGGCCTCCCAAGGAGTGGCCAGTGAAGAGGATGTGGCAGCGACCAGATGTCTGCGAGAGCGCCTGGCTGTCAGTGCTGACAAAGCTTTCGGGTTTGAGTCTCAACGGGTGAGGGGCTTTAAAGAAGTTTCTATATAACCGTCCTCACCAACTCCCTGATCCTCTTAAATGCTCCTATCTGAACTGAACGAACTTAGGGTGTAGGGCTTATACTTGGAGGATCATGGGACTTAGTACGTAAGGTTATAAGTACCTTAACTGGGGTTATAAGTAGTTATAAGTATAGTTACCCTAATTATAACCCCAGTTACTAAGTCCCATGATCCTTCAAGTAGGGTTTAGGGTTTCAAGGGCTGCTGGGGCTGCTGTTGGGGGCTTTTCGGGTTTAGGATGGCTCGGGGTTCTGAGCTTCTGGGTGAGGGCTGTGGGTGGTTGATAAAACTATGGTCCCTTTAGGGGGTACCCTAAATATTAGGTGCCGCACAAGAACCAGGACCCAAACAGGGACCATAAATTTGACAACCACCCATGTGGGATGTTGGTTGCTGCGGCTTCGGATGCCCATCCTCGAGCTTCGGGATGCCCAAGACAACAAACACGAAACCTGAGGCGGTTTGGGAGTCAGGGTTACCTGGCCCTATACGGGTCCAAAGGACCCAATTAATAATGTTAGGTACTCAGGTTTCGGATAGTGGCCATGTAGGTTGCTACTTGTGAGAGTATATGGTTATTCGGTACTTGGACCCTTGGGGTAAGCCCTAAAGCCCGGGAAAACTTTGACCATGCCAGTCTGGGACCTTACGACCTTTGTGAATCACACCAGCGCTTCATTGAACGTCCTGCGAAAACCAGGGTCCAAACTACCCCTAAACCCTGAACCCTAAGCCCATAACGCTTCGATGTCGCGAAGCAGGCTCCTTAAAGCGAGAGTAGCTACCCTCTCATGCCCCAGTCATGACCAAGAGTAGACAAGCCTGCAGTAACAGCAAAAAACAGCTTGCCAAAGGGGCCTTAAACAAATCCAAGAGGGTTTGGGGGTATCTTATACTATACTGACAACAAGGAACCCTAAGAATTAATATGGCGATTTATTAAGGTTTCTACCGTAGGGGGGGAGGTTTGGGGCTGACCGAGTAAGGTTTTAGTGCACCGTGCATTTGAATACTTTCATAGCCAATAGCAAGAAGCACACAGCAATGGACCGGGTTGTGGTTCAAGGGCATGAGTAAGCTCGTGTAGAAGTGTCGGGGTATGTTCTACTAGCTATATAAGTATGGGGGAGAACGGATACTGCAGTATCGTAAATCTTCAGACCCCTACGTTAAGTGCCTCGGAGACTTTCCCTTTGAGGGACTCCTCGTGTTGCAGGACGTCGCTCTGAACCTGCTTGCTTGGCTTCACGGCGTAGGGTTTACGGTGATTACAATGTCGAGTCTACGGTTTTGTAAGGGCCCATGTACTCATGTAGTCCCTAAGAACTCTGAGCCTTAACCCTTAAAGGAACCCTTAAAGAGTACCATGGACTCTTACCCTAAGGCTCAAAATAGCCAAAAAGCCTAAAATATAATGGTCTTTGGGCCGAGAAGCCTTATCATATGAGTCCTTAGAGCCTTAGGGTTAGGTGTTTAGCCCAAAGGGTCCTATGTACCGTTATGGTGGTTACTTCCCTGGATCATAATAGTAATTCCTAATATGGAAACCCTACATTCTACTATATCGGTACATAGGACCCTTTGGGCAGCTCTAAGGCCCGGCCCCCTAAACCCTAAACCCTAAACCCTAAACCCTAAACATCCCTCCATCCCATCTCGGCTCTAGCGCCTGGGGGAGCTGAACTGATTGTTCCAGGATCTTTGCTCATGTTGGGTGGTTGTCAAAGCTAGGGTCCCTTTAAAGGGATCTATAAGGGTCTAAGGGCTCCTTTAAAGGGATCTATAAAGGGTCTTAGGGTTCCTTTAAAGGGATCTATAAGGGTGGTTGTCAAAATTAGGGTCCCTTTTTGGGTCCTCACTATAGTACGGAACCTAATATTTAGGGTACCCAAAAAGGTACCCTACCCATGTAGGAGTTTCCGAAAGCAGGGGGTACCTTATCTAGGGTCCGTATAATAAGGATCCTGCTATTTAGGGTGCTAGGGTTTTCGGAAACTCCCATGTAGAGGAAGCTGTAGGAGGGATTGCACATCATGCTTGGTAACCCAAATCCTCAATACCCAAAAGCCCCTAAACCCTAAACCCTAAAACCTAACCCCCAAATCCTCAATACCCAAAAGCCCCTAAACCCTCCAAGACGGGCCTGGCCTAACCGCGACGATCAGGGATCCGAAGCTTGGAGGGTGTCTTCTCATTGCCACAATGCAAGCTAGAGGGCCCCTTAAAGGGTACCCCTTCTGAACCCTACTTCTGGCTCTCTTAAAAGGGGCCTTATTGAGAGGGTCTATATCCTAACTCCCAGAAAGCTAGAGGGTAGAAGGGGCCCCCACCCTGTAATAGTGACTATAAGGATTAGAGTAGGCCCCATTATATTTCTGTCATACCACTATTACAGGGGTGGGGGGCCCCTTCTTAAGCTAGAGGGTAGTTGTGGGACTCACTCGTCCAGTATACGAGGGGATTGCAATACCACACCCAGAAGCGTTTATGGTGTCCCGCTCCACAGCTCAGGGGATGTACGCAAAGATGTCAGGGCTGAGATTCTCATTGGGGCCTTTTTGCCTCTTGCCTTTAGGGTTTAGGGTTCAGGGAACTCCCGTTATAATAAGCCCGACACCATACCTAAATCGTAACACCCTAACCTTAACGCGCCTTGGCGTAGATTCCAGAGTGAGCCCAAACACCAGGAAGTGAGTCGTGCCACATCCTGAATTACTTAAAGGACCGGGGGACATAGTAACTAACCAGGGCTAGAAGTAGTAATTAAGGTAGCTATATAACTACTTATACCCCCGATTCAGGTACTTCGATAAAAACTTACTTGCTAAGTCCATTGATCCTCCAAGTAGGGCGCGGGACTAATCTTCAAGTGCGGCCCAGGTCTAGCGGACCCCAAAGCCACAACCCTAAGCTCGAAGCTGTGGGCTCGGGATATGGGCCCAGTTGTTTTGCGGTCTGCGACTATGATGACATGCATGATGCAGGGGCCTTGATTTTGGGGCTATTTTGCACTACAGGTATCTTAGGGAACCTAAGGAATACTATCCAGGTTTGCTCCGGCTTCTATAGTAGATGGAGCAGCCCAAGCCCAGTCAGCGCTGGCTGCACGAAGTGCACATGCAAAAAGGGAGGGCAACCCACCGCTTCGCCAACATCGCGTCCATTGTCCTGCAGCTGCAGAAATACGGGGGCGATGCCCAAAGCACGCCCAAGATCCCGCTTCAATCCCGGCGGACCGAGCCTTACGGGCTGAATCCCCCAAAACAGCATGGGCGCTGCCTTAACCCAGTTGGGCAGACCATCCAGCAAAGCAACACACAGGTCGCTGGGGTGCTCGGCTACGTGTATTGTTAATGTCCCGTGCGAAGCCATGGCGACGGGCCGCGCTACAACTACCCGAAGATGTACGTCAAGTGCATCCTCGGCTTGGCCTGGCTAGAGAGCTTGCACTCTCAGAAGGTAGGTTACATGTCGAGTTCTGGGTAGCTTACTGTAGTTGCTGGGTTCAGAAGCTCCCAGAGTTTAGGGGATTCTACCATCCCTCCGAAGTGTACAGTGCACTCATTCAGCTGGTAAGGTAGGGTGTGGCGACCACTTCCGGCGGACTTAGTATCTAGGCTTGTGATTAGAGGTACACTCATAATGGGGCCTGACTTGCCACGCCCCTTGATGCTTTCAACCCGAAGCCCGTATACATGCAATACAATCCCCTTTAAGGAAGCTCCCAAGTCCGGAGGAGTACAGGGTATAGGGTGTAGGGTTCAAGGTGTAGGGTTAGGGCTGGGAACTGTCGCCCTAAACCCATAACCCGTAACCCCTAAACCCCAAACCCAAACCATGGCTGGAAATACCCTTATGTTCCTATGGGCACTGTAGTTATGAGGGGTACCTTCTCCTATCATTATTGTAACCCCTACTCTAGAACCCCTGCATTCCACTGAATCAGTACTTCGGACCCAATTGGGTTATGAATGATAGGATACGAGACCACCAGAACCGATTAGTTCGTAGAGCCCCCATAAGTTCTATCTTTGAGTTTATAAAACGAACCTACCAAGACCTACGGTTGATGATATAAATCCTGCATTACCTTAAGGGCCCTAAACTATGGGAATTATGGTATATTCCTTATTATGGGTAATGCAAGATTTATATCATCAACCGTAGGAATGGGTGTTGGTTGCTCCAGGTGACACGCAAGACGCCGGCGGCCTCCTGAACCTGAAATACGGTTGATGATATAAAACATAAATTCTGCATGACCTTAAGGACCCTAGGCTATGGGAGTTATAGTATATTCCTTATAATGGGAATTGCCGGATTTATATATCATCAACCCTAAACCCTAAACCTTATAGATCCCTTAAAGGAGCCCCTTCAAGGTACCCCTGATAGATCCCTTTAGAGGAACCCCAGGGTTCATATCATCCACCGTATCATCCCGGCTCTGAGTTCTGGCTTTGGGGGGCCTTCCGGCTTGGAATCTGACTGCAAGGGTCAGGGAGGAGACTTCCCCAGAAGGGTTTAGGGTTTAGGGTTGAGATCTAAACCCTAAACCCTAAACAGTTTAGGGTTGAGTGTCCATTTTTACTAGCATTCAGTGGAATTACATAGGTCCTAAAAGACCATCCCTTTTATGGTTTTGGGGACCAAATTCCATAACGGTAGTGTGTATATGGACCCTCTGGGTTCGGGTGACGAGGGTTTATATTTTAGGGTTTGGGTTTACGGTTCAGGGTCCGAGGCTCAAGATGTCACACAACGGCCCGAAACCCAACTCCAACTCCTGCATCCTGAACAGCGGGCCTACTTAAAGGATCCTGAAACTTACTAACTAAGTTTTTTATTGAGGTAATTATACTTATGATTACTTAAAGCCCCAAGTCAGGGACTTATAACACATGACCTTGCTGACAAAGCCCCACGATCCTCCAAGTACGGGCTCTAAGGACTTAGCTTTATGGCCTGATGCCGAGGATGTCTACAGACTTTTCCGTCCCGCCCAATGTCGGGTATTTACCCTGGGGCTGATAGTAAGATCTAGGCTATTAGGCTTTTTTTTCGGGGGTCTAATTTCCAGTTGAGGGTTTTCCGAGAATTACAAATCCAATCCGCGAATCCAGTGCCAGACCCAAGTGTCTGTGCACGAACAGGAGCTGCGGCCAGGTCTGTGAACAGGTCCTGCCAACGAAGGCACACAACCCAAAACAAAACCCCAAACCAACACCAAAACCAAACTCCAAACCCAACCCTACAACGCCCTAAGCCCTTTCCGGGATTCCGAGTCTGTATTCAATCAAATCCCAAAGCCTCACATGGTCTATAGGCCCAAAATACAGAAGCTTTAGCAGACAAGGTGCGCCGTAAACCAATAGTAGGATCCCACCAAAACACTAAACAAAAGACACCCGTGTGAATGAACACCCGAAAAATGCGTCGGGTCTCAAGGTAAACTAGGGCCTGCTAGGTACCCCAAATAAAACCAACTATGTACTATATTCCCAAAAACCCTATTGTAACTGTTAAGGCCTCTATCTTGGGCCTTCAGCCTGTCTCAATGCTCCAAAATCCCCCACCCAAGGATCCTTGAAGGGTTCCGTAAAGGGATCTATAAGGGGAGCTTTACCTAACCGACCCCAAAGTAGGTAAAATGGCCCAACACCTGTAAGAGGCGATCATCCTACATGCTTCTGTGGTCCTGGCACCACGTATGGTTTAATGTGTATACCTTCACTTTTCTGCTAAAAAAACATGACCCGAGGCCGACCCCTTCATTCAGGTATACGGTATAGCTAGTGGGGCTTCTAGGCACACGAAGAACCAAGGCCTCACAGAAACGAGTTTGAGCGCTTCTGGTGTTATATGATATAGTATCCAGAGTGCGGGCGAAAGGGTGGCAAATTCAAACCCGGTATGCGCCTTCAACCCGAAAGCCGAGAACAGCTGAGCCCAGGTGTCTAAACCCTATGGTTTAGGCTCTAGGGATTCGTGTTCAGGGTTTTAGGGTTCAGGGTTCAAGGATTACTGTTGAGGGGAGGGTTTTAGGGTTTTAGGGTCTACTTAAACCCCCAAAAGTAACTAAAATAATGGTCCAAAACCTATAAAAGGCTATTATTCTACATGCTTTTGGGGTCCAGGTAGGGTTACGTTTTGGGTTAAGGGATGGGATTACTGTTTAGGGCAGGGTTTTAGGGCTTTAGGGTTACTGTTTAGGGTTTAATGTCCAGCGGTCGCTTGTCGAACTCCGTCCCCTGCCAGACCACGACGATCATCGTCTCCCGCTGGTCGGGCTCCTGGAAAGACTTCGGATTAGGTTTAGGGTTTAGGGGTTTAGGGGTTTAGGGTTTAGGGGTTCCTATTAAGGTCCCTAAACTATGGGAATTATGGTATATTCCTTATGCCTTATATTATGGGTCATGCAGGATTTATATCATCAACCGTACTTCGGATCAGTTTTAGGGCTTATGGCTGAGGGAATCCCGAGGGGTCCAAGCGGGTACTTAATGTAGGAACATGATTAAGAAACCCTGGGCCTATAACCCCAAAATAGTAGGATTCACAAACGGAGCCCTAATAAAGGCCCAAGGTTCTAAATCAGGTTCCTACATGACATTTCGCGCTGAAGTCGCTAAACACAGGGTTTAGGGCTGACTTAGTAGACCCTAAGCCCTAAACCCTATAGATCCCTTTAAGGAATCCTTTAACAAGGATCCCTTGGTTTAGGGTATAGGTATATGGGCCCCGAAAGTGTAATACTATAATTACTAGACATTAGTAGGTATATGGTCCCTTTTTGGGTAATATTAGGTGCCGTATTATAATAAGGACCCAAAAAGGGACCCTAATTTTGACAACCACCCATATGGGCCCCGAAAGTGTAATAGTATCATTGCTGAACTACTTGGAGGATCATGGGACTTAGTAAGTAAGGTTATAAGTACCTTAATTGGGGTTATAAGTAGTTATAAGTATAGTTACCCTAATTAGAACCCCAGTTACTAAGTCCCATGATCCTTTAAGTAAGCCCTAAACCCTAAACCCCATACATCCTTTTAAGGAACCCCTATAGATCCCCTTTGAAGGAGCCCTAAAGTTACTAAGTCCCATGATCCTTTAAGTAGGGCTCCTGGAAATACTTCGGACCAGGGCTTCGTGAGTCCTAGCGGGTGTTGGCTCACGGCAATGTAGGTCCCTTTCTTCCTGTCGAATTATGGCAAAGAGGTTTCCCTTTGAAGGGTTCCTTAAAGGGCTCTATAAGGGATCTATAGTAGGCTTCGATGATGTAGGGGCCTTAAAAATTAGAATAGCGTTTGGGGGTATATATTACTATCACAAGGAACGCCCCCCAAAATAGGATTGGGAATATGTCAAGCCACTATATTATGGTATAGGATTTGGGGTTTCGGGGTTAGGGCCAGAGGTCAGCAAGGGTCCCTGAAAAGCTTAATCAAGTAGGCTTCAAATCAAGTCTGACGGAATGTTGCCAATCCGGCAAACGACACCAATCACCCTGTACAAAGAGACACAAACTTGGAGCCCGGACCCTATACATCCCTAACCCTCGAAACATTAGGCCCTAAACTCCAGACCCTGTATAGAAGCCTACTGGACCCGTTTCTATCTTCTTCAATGCCCGGACCCCAAAACAAGCTCAAGGGTCCTGAGATGGACCAAACAGTTAAGGCTAGGAAGTTGCAAACTCTCCCATTGGCTATCTTTGGGAATAGTTGGCAACATCAATCCTGAGGGTGCCGTATTTGTCTAAACTAGAATAGGCACCTATCCATTTACATAACCTAAAGGCTCCTCACATACAGATGGCTTTTCGGAACCGAATACCATACTGGTAGTATATGAGGAGCCTCTGGGTAAGCCTTAAAAAAAGTTAAGGGAACCCTCAGGCGGCCCTAAACCCTAAACCCTAAAACCCTAAACCCTAAAACCCTAAACCCTACACCCTAAACCCTAAAACCCTAAAACCTAAACCCTAAAACCCTAAACCCTAAACCCTAAAACCCTGAACCCTAAACCCTAAACCCTAAAACCCTAAAACCTAAACCCTAAAACCCTAAAACCCTAAGCCTTAAAGAAACTTAAGGGAACCCTCATGGGCGGCCCGGGGTCCTTCGCTTCAGCCGGACGGGGCATCTTTAAGACGACCAAGGCGGCAGAGGGCGACCTCATAGCGTTGAATTAGGGCCACTGTAGGGTTTAGGAATTTTGAATTACTGTAGTGTGATGCAACTTTAGCGTTCTATGATTCAGGGTGTTAGGGTTTGCGGTTTGTTTGAGGGTTTCTCCGGTTCAGGGATTCAGGGATAGAGCGGCCTAGAGCATAGGGCCCTAACTATGAGGTCTTTGGAGGGATAGGGTAAACTGCCAGAACCTATCTGTTTTGGCATTTTTAACAAACGCTAATATTGCATAAGTTGTCGAATGGGGTCCTTATTTACACAGCATTCAGAAGCAGAAATGGGTTCGAGCGAGTCTTCGAGGAGGCCGTTAAGCCGTGTAGAATGAAGTCGCTTAGGCCTGGGAGGTTACCGAGCACACCATGTAATCTGGCCTGAGCTGGCTGGCTGTTGGCCCGGCTAGAGAATGGCTGGCTGGAGCTGCTTTCCCAAAGCCTCCACGTACCCATATAGCAGGTACTTCGGCCTTAAGGTAGCTCTTTAAGGCCTAAGCCTAAGTACCTACTATATGCGCAAATGTTTGAACAGCGACGTTACCCCAAGGGTCCAAAAGCATCATAAGCATATTACCCTCCCGCAGGTACAAGGCTGCAATATCCTGAGCCCGTCCACACACTTCTTGGATCCTTCGGAATTTTGGGGTCAATAAGACAGCCGCAATCGGGGTATTGAAAGGACAATCTGATATTGGGCCGAACCATGGTCAACCCGCGACCCTAACAACTCCATGCACTTATATACTGTGCAAACTTAAACTTATGCCTCTACGTGCCTATATAGGCGCAGCTTTCAGCCCTCTATATAAGTACATTGAACCTCAGGGAGGACTGGATCCTACCATCTGCTTTAAGGGACCTGGGGGGGATGTATTACTGACAGTTGCGTTTAATCCTGGAGGGGCTAGACGTGAACATTGTTTCTAATACATACTGTTCTCCAAATAAGCCATAACCTTCAATCCGATACCTCGTGCTTGCACACCCAGGGTTACGGCAGTTCATTGAGTTTCCGAATAAAATTCTAGGTATGCAAAGAGGAAGTTAGGTGAGGCAATGATTCTGCGAGTAGTGGGGCTTGGCGCCTAGCGGCCTATGCGATTTTGGCATATTCGGTTGAAGTACTAAGCGATACATGCCCCCAGGTGTGTGGCATGTAGAACCCTACCCTAACCGACCAAAACCAACTGTTTGTCGGGTCCCTGTACAGTCCGTGTTAGGGTCAATAATAAGAACCTACCAAAAAGTGGGTTTTGGCACTCGAAGTTCTTCGATCTGGACAATGTCCTGTTCGCGGAATCCGAACATGCAACACCCCTTCCCAGTAAGGGCTGTCTCCAGCCACTCGTTCCACGAGGACCCATATAAGGCATGGCTGGGGCAAACTCGCTGGGTCTGCCCATTGGCTCTCTTGGAGGATCATGGGACTTACTAAGGTTATGAGTACCTTAATTACGGTTATAAGTAGTTATAGGTGTATAGCTGCTCTAATTATAACCCTATTACTAAGTCCCATGATCCTTAAGTACGTCAATGTTGCCGCCAATCATTCCCCAAGGAAGCTCGCCGCTGAGTACTCGAGCAGTTGTCCTGGTTGGGAGGAAGCCATCGCAAGCGAGTCCCACATCAAATGAGTAGGCGGAGGGCCATGGCAATGAGATAGCAGAGGATTTTGTTGGTCCCGTAACCCTATGCTACCAAGGACCTTATAATTGGCCTTGAGGGGTCTAGGGGCCCTAGCTATATGGGAGACTCCAAAAAATAGGGGACCCCAATAATAGTTCCCTGAATAGTAGGATCCTGATTTTCATGGTCCTTTGGAGGATAGGGTTAAATGTGGTCCAGGTGACAGAGGCGTGGGCCGTGGGAACTGCACGTCGGCCACTTCGACCTCGCCCAGAGACCCGAAACAAGAGCAGAAGCCAATTCCATTTAGAGCCACGGTTTAGGGTTTAGGGTTGTAGGGGTTTAGGGGTTAGGGTTTAGGGATTCCATTTGGTAGTTCTCCAAATCAGGGTCCCGTTTAGGGTCCTGTTTATAAGGGTGCCGTACTAGCTTGGGAAACGGACCCCAAATTTAGAGAACAGCCATTTGCATTCAACTGAGGAATAATCCATACGGGCACATGGATCTTTAGGCCCAATTAGATCCCAAGTCAACCCGAAACCCTAAACCCCTTACAGATGCCTTTAAAGAACCCTTTAGGGATCTTGATCGCTGGCTCCTTGTGTATTTCTAGGATCACCCTTATAGAACCCTCACGCATCCCTTTACGGAGCCCTTTAAGGGATCTTTAGGGCAACCGTATGGCTCCACTCGCTCCTGGGTTCCTATTGAGGGTTTGAATTTCAGTTACCATAATCAAGAAGCCACAGTACTTCAATACCTTTATTATGGTAACTTACACCTTCAACCCATACCCTTAAATAAACCCATATAGACCCCTTGAAAGAACCCTTCTAGATCCCTTAAAGGAACCCGTATGGATCCCTACAAAAAAACCTTATAGATCCCTTACAAAGATCCTGATTAGGCAACTTAAATTAAACGCCTTAGCAAGAACCCAGACTCATGTGCGTGAGATTGTCAGGCGAGTATAGGAGTTTCCGAAAAGAAGGGGATACCTTTAAAGGGATCTATAAGGGTTCCTGTAAGGGCCTATCTAGGGGGACCTTATTTTGGAGTCCTGATAAGGAGGATCCTACCACTTCGGGTACTACAGTAGGGTCCCTTATTTTCGGAAACTCCCATACGTGCGATGTTGGGGGCGGGGGGCTGTCTTTAGCCTTGTGAGCTTTAGACTTTAGGGGTGTAGGTTCTTCGGGGTTTAAGCTTTAGGCCTTTGGGGTTTAGGGGTTCAGGTGTATACGGGCTTACATAGAGGATCATGGGACATAGTAACTAGGGTTAGAATTAGACTGACTATACCTACAACCACTTGTAACCCTTTTTGAGGTACTTATATCCTTACTTACTAAGTCCCCATGATCCTCCACGTAGGGGCTTAGCGGTTTTTGTCGTACGTGCTATGCTGAGCTTTGAGTGACTCCTTTAGCCCGGGACCCCTTTTTAGGGTTCCTTTAAGGGTTAGGGTTGGTCCCATTCTAAGGGCTCCTTGTAAGGGTTATAGGGCTTGAGTTTAAGGGTTTAGGGTTACACATGCCTTAATACCCTCACGAGCTTGCGCAGGATGCGGGCAGAAACACAAGCACCTCGCAGTCTCCAAAGCTTCCCCTGAAGAAGACCACACTCAAGGAAGCGAGTGTCGGGAGAGACGGTACACGCGTGACGGTTCGCAGCGAACCCTTGAAGCCTCCTTGCAGTGGTGGCGGGAGCGCTCACGCCATTAGCGGCATCCAAAGTGGTATTTGCGGATTAATTTGATGGGAGGCCAAAAGGGGGGGTTAAGATTCTTGGGGTAGGGATTCCTTAATATGAACCCGATTATGGGAACCCTGATCTCTACTAAACCCCCATAGGTTAAAACCCCTTTTGGCCTGATACATTATAGAACCCCTTATAGTACCCTTATAGATCCCTTAGAGTACCCTTATAGTAATCCTTATAGGAACCCTTTGAAGGGTTTAGGGTTATAATTGCGGTTCAGGGACTTCTCCCTCCTGAGTCTTTGCCGTGTCGACCGGGTCCTTTACTCCCGCCAGGGCGGTTCATCCAAGCGGGAGTCTACACTTAAAGGATCATGGGACTGAGTACCTAGGGTTATAATTAGAGTAACTATACTTGTAACTACTTATAACCCTAATCAAGGTGCTTCTAACCTTACTTACTAAGTCCCATGATCCTCCAAGTAAGCCCTAAACCCTAAACCCCATAGATCCCTTTAAGGAACCCTCTAGATCCCTTTTAAGGAGCCCTAATTATAACCCTAATTAAGGTGCTTCTAACCTTACTTACTAAGTCTCATGATCCTCCAAGTACGCCAATGTTAAAATCAGAGTAACTGTACTTATAACTTATAACTACTCATAAACCGAATTAAAGTACTTATAACCTTACTTACCAAGTCCCATGATCCTCCAAGTACTTTGCTTGAGCCGACACTGTCGGATCCGGTCCCAATGAACCTGTCTCCAGCAGGTCCTCCTCATACTGTTGATGGACAAAGTCCTGGGGTTCCTTTTAAAGGGATCTATAAGGGTACCTTTATAGGGGTTCCTTTAAGGGATCTATAGGGCTTAGGGTTGATGAGCCGTAGGGATGGATTTGGCCAGCATGCCGCTGCATAAGTCGCACAGCACAGACAGCTCACGGCATGGACCTCAAATCCGAAAAAAACGCATGACTTCTATCAACCCGACTAAAGCCCTACCTATAGTCTCATTGTAGTATATATTAACGATCCTGTAAGGTAACCGCGAACAGGAAACGACTTAGACCACCCCAACTACCCTCTAATATATCCTAAACACTATTGAGGACCGTAAATGGCTCCCTTAAAGGGCCATTGGGGTGTCCTGGTACAGTGGAGACTGGGTAAACCTTATAACAGACCAAGCTGCCTCCTGGCTGAGCCGTCTTCCAAGGGCCTCGCGCTGCGAGCAGGTGCTAGGCCCACCGTTGAACTTAGAGGCTGACTCAGAGGGTCCTAGTACCCAGACAGTAGGGTTCAATCGCTGTTTTGGTGTTGAGACCATCAAGGCGAGTGCCCTAGCCCAAACAAGGCAACTGAAGCTTTTCCATTATGGTAGGATTATAGGGTTCATGCTTCCCTACCCCCCAAGTCGAACATATGGTTCTGTACGGCATCCAGAGTAAGGGTGCTGACTTCTGCCTTCCAATACCAGAGTTTCCTCATCAGTCATCACGCGGTATTCGCTCATCTCAGCGTTCCCCTTCAAGTCCAAGCGTCCGCCTTCCATATGCCCCTCAACAGACGGAAGGAGAAAGAACCTGTCTCATCCCCAACGGTGAGAAATTCGTGTTCCCCGAGCTTTCGTGCAGCAACCTCCAGCAAGTCTCACCGCAAACCGTTCTGTTTGACACGGACTGCAACATTCTTGCTGAAATTTCCGTAGTCGATGATGACCAATTTGTCCGCGCCCTAAACCCCTAAACCCTAAACCCCTAAACCCTAAACCCTAAACCTTAAACCGCCCTTGTCGGCTCTTCCTCGCTCTGCTCGTGTCCTTCTGAACGGTAAGCGAGGCAAAGGGGCTAGGTTTAGGGTTTAGGGGTTTAGGGTTTAGGGGTTACCCCCCTACCTGGACCCCAAAAGTATGTAGAATAATAGCCTTTTATAGGTTCTGGGCCATTATTTTACTTACTTTTGGGGGTCCAGGTAGTTTCTGCGCCGGCCTGTGTCATAATGGTTTGCCAATTTCCTGGCCTCTAAAGAATCATCAAAAGGCTTTTTGCCCCGAGAGTTCAGGGTTTAGGGCTTAGGAAAGCCAGAACCCAGAAAGCCAAGACCATGACGAAGAGCTTCATAAGGCTTGTATAAGGCTGGATCGGGCTTTGACGGGTTGTAGGAGGTTGTCTGAACTATGCCAGCATTAGCTCTAGAGTTTTGGGTTGTAGGACCGTTGCCAGCACAACTACGGTACTATTCACTTCAGGGAATACACCTAACGTGTCATAATTTAGGATGCTGAAGATTAATGATGCTGGATATGTCCCATCAGCAGTGGAGCCAACTTATGTCTTGGATCCCAAAACGGTCCTATTCATAAACAAACAACCTGGGCAAGTGTAACCATACACACCAGACCTGGGGCATTGTAGTATCGCGGCTAAACGCAGTCCTTGTGGAACTAAGAGCCTGAACCCGAAACTCTAAGCCCTGTAGATCCTAAACTCTGCCCCCTAAAAACCCTAAACCCCAAAACCTAAACTGGAGACCCTACATCTGAACTGGGAACCCTAAACCCTGTAGATCCTAAGCCCTAAACCCCAAAGCCTAAACCGAAGACCCTAAATCCAAAACCCGATCGCAGTGCCCGCCTGCTTCACTTCTCGCTCGCGAAAAGCCGGCTCCTCAATGCTATTCAGACTGTCGAGCCATGCCCCCTAAACCCTAAACCCTGCCAAGACGATCCTTAAAAGATCATGGGACTTTGTAACTAGGATTGTTAGACTAACTATACTTGTAATTACCTATAACCCTGATTAAGGTACTTATAACCTTACTTACTAAGTCACATGATCCTCCAAGTAGTGGCCTTGTAGTTTAGGATATGGGAGTTCCCGAAAATAGGGGACCACAATATAGTACCCTAAATAGTAGGATCCCTATTGTAAGGACCCCTACAAAATAAGGCATCTCCTAATTTTCGGAAACTCACCAAACCCTAAACCCTATAGATCCCTTATAGGAACCCTGAAAGGAACCCCTTACAGATCCCTTGAAAGCTACCCCGAGTTATCGGAAACTCCCATATGAGGTTCAGGGGGGCCCTTGCAATCAGCCTGGTGGTTGCTCAGGGGTAGACTACAGAAGCCTGTCCACCGAAGAAACTACAAGGGCCCCTGAACCCTAAACCGTGCTTTTAGGGTGGTGTAATTTAGGGTTTAGAGTTTAGGGTTTAGCGTACCTAAGGAATTACAAGGGCCCTGAACCCTAAACCCTACTTTTAGGGTGTGAGGGGCCAGGGTATTTACCCTAAATCCTACCTAAACCCTAAACCCTGCTAGACTATAACTATAGGGCCTTGTCATTTAGGGGGTGTGAGGGGCTCGGGTATCTACCAAAAAGAATAGATATGTAATCAGACAGGGTGTATATTAAGAGCTTGTAAGTTGGGGTATGAGGCTTTAGGGTTGGTTTATGCGTTTGGGTGGGAGGTATGTTATCGTGCTCGTATTCAATAAACCCAGCCCCTAAGCGGCTCCTTTGTGCGCCACTGCCAAACGAAGGCATTGCAGCCCAGGTACAACACCTGCAAGGTTTGTGACTGGTTGTGCGGAGTCGATGTTCACTTCTTTGCTTTAAGCTGAAAGAGAGCCCAAAGCCTTGCATACCCTATGGACCCTAAACCCCTCAACCCCTTAAACCCTAAAGCCCTGTATAGTGTGGTCTTCTGGCCAAAAAAACTAAAGAAGTCAATCCTTCGAGCCTTATAGGTTCGAAGGTGTGGACCTCGAAACGCATCAAAAGCCACCCACCTGTCAGTCCAGCAAGAACCTTTCCGAAACCAATGAAGCAGAATATAAAGGCCCTTTAGTAAGTTAGTACTACTAGTGGCGACTCAGACCTCCGTACAGGCTGCCGAATCCCAAGCCGCCTCCAAGTAGGGGTACCGCACGCCATCGCGACCCAAAGCAGTTCCGGCCCCCAGCTGAGGAAGCCTCATTCAATATTTGAAGGATCATGGGACTTAGTAAGTAAGGTTGTAAACACCTTATTTGGGTTACAAATAAGTATATGTATAGTTAGCTTATTTGAATACAACCCTAGAAAAAGAAACTACTACAAACTCCGATCCTTTAAGTAGCCAACTGTTCTCTACAGTGACACCCCTCTTGGTTAGCATTCATGCTTCTTGAGTTCGGAGACTCTGCAACCGAGGGTAGTCGGAAGGCTGAGACCTTAGACCCTGAAACCCAAAAGCATTAAAGCTAAAGGCCTACACACAAAAGCCCAAAAGCCCAAGACTGTAACCCCTGAACACTGGAACCCTGAAGACTCCCCCGCTCCAGCCTGAAACTCCTGAACCCTTATACCCGGAGAGCCCAATACCCCTTAATTAAGGAATATAGCTTTAATCATAATATGAATTCCCTTATAATTTAAGGTATATTCCTTAATTAAGGGGTATTGGGCTCTCTGGGAAAGCCATCACACCCTAAGCTCAGAAGCCCAAAGCCTCAAGCCAAAAACCCCAACACCCAAAACCCCGAACCCTGAACCCGAAACCCCCTTCACCCTAAACCCCAACACCCTAAACCTCGAACTACCTAAACCCTAAACCCTTTCCCCTAAACCCTCAGCCCCTAAACCCCTAAACCCTAAACTAAACTAAACCCCTAAACCACTACGTCGACCCTGAACCCCAAAACCCGAAACCTAAACTCGAAGTTCTAAAACCCCCTACACCCTAAACCCTAAACCTCCTAACTCCTAAACCCCAAAACCCTCAACACCTAAGCCCAAAACCCCTAAACCCCTAAACCCCGAACTCCTAAACCTCCGAACCCGAATTCCTTCTGTGCCCAAGCCACTGAGCGCCTTCCGGGATGACGCCCGCCCGATCCACCGCGAAGTCCTAGACGCTTTAAGGCTCCTTCAATAGGGATCTCTAGGGTTCCTTCAAAGGGATCTCTAGGGCTCCTTCAAAGGGATCTCTAGGGTTCCTTTAAAGGGGATCTATAAGGGTTCCATTACCCAAAGGCTCTAAGGACTCATATGATAAGGCTTCTGGGCCCAACCACCATCCTTTGGGCTAGGGTTCCTTTTTAAAGGGGATCTGTAAGGGTTCCATGAGGGATCCACAGGGTTTAGGGGGTTTTAGGGTTCAGGGTTTAGGGATGTGCGGTCCAGGGTTTTAGGGGTTTTAGGGTTTTAGGGGTTTTAAGGTTTAGGGTTCATATGGCTCAGAGATGTTCAAGAGCTTGAGGTTTGGGGCTTTTGCGTTCAGCCTTTATGCGCTGTGGTTTCGGGTATAGACTGGTATAATTCAGAGGGTCCATAGACACTACTTTTGTGGAATTAGGTACCAAAGGACCATCCCCATAATGATTTTTGGGGACCTAATTCCATAATGGTAGTGTATATGGACCCTCTGGTATAATTCAGAGGTTCAGGGGTTCGGGTTGAGGGTTCCAGGGTCCTCAACCTGAAAGGGAAGCCTTGTGACAGAGGATTTCGGAAACTTCCGGAATTAGGGCTACCTTATTGTGGGGTCCTTATAATCAGGATCCTACTACCAGTAGGGTCCCCTAATTTCGAAAACTCCCATTTGGGCCTAATTTCCCGAGCCGGCGAGGTTCGATTTGGCATCCAGTCGCAACAGGGCGGACCCGAATCCTACACTCCACTGCCTTGTATCAAGAAGCTTTGCGGCTCTCCGCCGAAAGGAACCTTGAACCTCCACCAACAAACTAAACATAACAGTTACTCCTGGAAATACATGTGTGTGTATGCATATAGAAATTTTACACATTTCAGCGAGCTTCAAAAGGTTGGGGCATTGACTCGTAGTTACTGGGGTTCTCTACGCCCTAAGGCCGACGCCAAAATCATGGAACTTTGAGCTTTTGCGACAGTAATGCTTAAACCTGTCACTGCTGTAGATTAATTACCCTCAGGTTCCATAGACCCAAAGGGGAGGGGTGCCGCGTACCTTATTTTGGGGTCCTCATAATAAGGATCCTGCTATTTTGGGTGCTAGATTAGGGTCCCCTATCTCGGAAACTCTCATATAGCACATACAGCGGCCATCACGTAGTCCCTGTTTAGGTACTTCAGGTCCCAAGTATATGCTGCAAGGGTGCACAGACCTCTGGGTCTACTACATCTACAACGCTAGAAACTCTGCCTGTAAGAGAACCCCTAACACCTCTCTCTTTAGGGATCTGTACCGGATTTGCCTGAAGTTTTACATGACCCTAAAGAAAACTGTTTGGGTATCTTATCGGCATAAGATCCTAAACCCGAAGCCCTAATCCGCCAAAACCCGAAAGCCCACACAGCCACATTTGTCGGAGGCCTCAAAAGGTAGGATGAAGGTAGGTTGGGATATTCCCAAATAAGAGTCCTTATATTAAGGACTAAGGGATCCTTAATCCCACCTACCTTCATCCCACCTTGTGCGGCCTCCGAATTCGGCCAAGGGTCGTTGCTCCGAAAGAAGTTGGCACCTCCAGGCTTGATCTCCACACCTCCAGCAGGCTAAGGAACAAATTTGAGGCAGGTTTCGAGCTCTAAACCCTATATATATATATATATATATATATATATACATATACTTAAACGCTGAACCTAATCCCTAAACCCTCAACCTTTAACTCCTAAACCCTACACCCCTAGACCCTCAGGCTTAAACTCTAAACCCCTAAACCCTGAAGGCTTTCAGATGTCAGGGGGTCAGTTTTGGGTGCCGCTTTTTTCTTTTTGTCGGCCGAAAGCCGGCAGTCGCAGCGGACATCTCATGTGCGAGCCTCAACTTTGCGAGTTCCATAGGGAACTGTGGCGTCTGTTGTGCTGAAATTGGGGGTTTAGGGTTGGGGGTTTAGGGTTTAGGGTCTAGAATTGCTATAATTAGGATTTAGGGTTTAGGGGTTTAGGGGCTTAGGGTCGACTATGCTACAGCGGACCATGTATCTAGGCTGCCGTCATAATGAGGGTGCCCTTGTTGGTTTCAACAAGAGAACCCCAAAACAAAAAGTGCAAAAAGGGTACTACTGGGGAACCTAATTATCTACACGAGATCATGGACGATGATTCCCAGCTATTCCGACCCGAATGTTCCACCCGTAACCGCCGCTTTGCCAATGGCTGCATGGATTCATACTTGAATTGTTCCGGGGACTACCTTGTACTTGGTTTTGCGACCCAAAACCTCCAAGGACTCTGATCACAAGGCTTTTGAGCCGAAAGACCAGACTATATAAGGCTTCTGGGCTATTTGAGCCTTAGGGTAACAGGGACTTGGGCCTTCTGGGGGAGGCTTGAGGCTTTTGAGGGGGCTCGGGTTTGGGACCTCACTGCAAGGGTCCAGGAGCCTTAGGGTACCTTGTATTTGCTTTTGTTATTTTTTATACGGGCCCCTGCACAGAAGTAGGCATTCTTGCCCCCCTAGCTCCCCAGCAACTTCGTAACTTAGTATGAGCCAATTCGGCTCAGGGCGTGCTGTGAATCCAGAAAGCACAATCACGCTCACTTTCGAAACACACCCTAAACCCTAAATCCAAAACACCCTAAAACCTAAACCCTTGACCCTAAAACCTTAAGTGCCCAAACCCTAAAACCCCCTAAACTATCCTAATCCCCAGTCAACCCTGTTCGTTCAAGTCTCATTGGTCGAGGGCGTAGATGGATGCAGTGTCGACCACATACACGCGCTGCCTCGGATCAAAAGCCCGACTTCTACCCGAAATGTGACGTTATTGAAGGGGCTCAGGGGCTAGGGGTTTAGGGTTCGGGAGTGTAGGGGGGGTTAGGGGTTTGAGTTTCTTGGGTTGAGGGCTCAGGGTTTAGGGGTTTAGGGTTCGAGGTCTTGATTTGAGTTCTCTACACTCCAGGGGTAAAAGGAGGGACCCTTAATAAGGACCCCTAGGTATATACCCTTAATAGAGCTAGTATATACCCAGTATATAGCCCATTATAGGGTAGGGGTCCCCATTAAGGGTCCCTCCTTTTCCCCTTTGGTACACATTTCATCCGTGGATATTCGGACACCACACACTGCGTGGAATGCCGAAGGCTGCATGCTGCCCCTATTCAGTCTCCACTTCGGCCTTGATCCCTAAGACTCCATGTACCCATATAGTAGACTATACTTCTACCTCTGTAGAAGTTATAACCTATAGCGGAGTCCCATGATCGTCCAAGCAGGGCTGTTTTGGGCCTCACCCTAACATCCTTTTCAATACCCGGAGAAAGCACTCTTGACCTGCAGACTTTGGTATGTAGGTCTTCTTTCGTCTACGGCGCATGACTCCGAGGATTTAAACGAAAACCTATTAAGCCCCAACCCCTGAACCTGTACTGATAACACACTAAGCATCCCTACACCCTAAACCCTAAACCCCAAGTTATCTAAACCCCTAATCCACAGAGTCCCTGAAGCCCCTACCTAGACCCCCCAAAGTAGGTAAAGTAATGGCCCACATCCTATAAAAGGCTATTATTCCACATACTTTTGGGGTCCAGGTAAAGCCCTACACTCGAAGCTCTAAGAACTCTTTCGCAGTCCTAAACCCCAAGTTACAAAACCCTAAACCCCTAATCCACAAAATCCCTGAAGCCCTACATCCGAAGCTCTACTGGGAGGATCATGGGACTTAGCTTAGGGTTTAGGGATCCTTGAAAGGGGGTCCTTAAAGGGTTCCTTAAGGGGATCTATGGGGGTTTAGGGTTTAGGGTCTACTTGGAGGATCATGGGACTTAGTAAGTAAGGTTATAAGTACCTTAATTGGGGTTCTAAGTAGTTATAAGTATAGTTACCCTAGTTATAGCCCTAGTCACTAAATCCCATGATCCTTTAAGTAAACACAAGACCCTAAACCCCTATCCTAAACCCCGCATCCACAGAATCCCTAGAGCCCCTAAAGCCCTACACCCGAAGCTCTACTTGGAGGATCATGGGACTTCATAAGTAGTTACAAGTATTATAGTTGCCCTAATTATAGCCCTAGTTACTAAGTCCCATGATCCTTTAAGTAAGCACTCTTTCGCAGTCGGGGGAGCCCGGAATGGGCGAGAAGGAGCAGCGCCACGCCGGCGTTGCTCTTTGCATCGCCCAATACCTGGGCTTTTGGTTTAGGGTTTTTAAAGGGCTCCTTAAAGGGATCTATAGGGTTCCTTAAAGGGATCTATGGGGTTTAGGGTTCAGGGTCTACTTGGAGGGCAGGGGACTTAGTAAGTAAGATATAAGTAGAGTTATAAGTATATACCCGAAGAGACCGTACTTATAAACGACTTACTAAGTCCGCTGCCTCTCCAAGTAGGTTCCTTTAAAGGGTTCTGTTGGGTCTTTTGGGTGAAACCCGTTTAAGGAACTTCGAAAGGGAGTGATAAGGAGCCCGAAAAAAAACGGCAGGCTTTGTAGATTCCGGATAGCGGTTATCAGTTCCTTTAACTGAAGCCGAAGGGTTCTCTCAAGGTACCTATGCAGTATATGGGAATAGGAGCTCAAGGGGTTTTGGAGTAAGGGAACTGGATTTAGGGGTTTTGGTGTAGTGAGGGCGTGGTATTCACGGAGTGATGTCGGATTTGGAGTTTAGGGGGCAAGACGATGCAGGCTGGGGCAGTTGAGGGTTGCAGTTTTTATACACAGATTAGCCAAACGCTTCTGGCTTCATTGTCTTGAGTCTGTTTCCAAAGGTAAAAGGAGGGACCCTTAATAAGGACCTCCAGGTATATACCCATAATATAGCTATTATATACCCATCATATAGCCCATTATAGGGTAGGGGTCCGCATTAAGGGTCCCTCCTTTTCCCGGTCCCCATTAAGGGTCCCTCCTTTTCCCCTTTGACTGTTGCAGGGCCTCGACCCAGAAACCTAAAGAAGCGCATGGATGGTAACGGCTGCAAACTACAGCGCATGCTCCCAAACCCTCCGCCGGAAACCCTATACCAGCCTCTACCCTCGCCCCCAAAGCCGAAACCCTCGCCCAGAAGGCCCAAGACCCTCTTAGGAGCCTTAGGGTAAACCCTAAACCCCAATCCCTACGCCCGATATGAACCCTGGGGAGGTCGAAGCTCGGTGACTCGGTAAGGGCAGCACTCTGGAAAGTTGGGGCGTCGATGGTGATTTGGGGAGGGGTTTGGGGGTGTAGGCTTTAGGGCTTAGGGTTTGGAGTGTGGCATTTTGTGAGGGAAGGAAAGATCATCCAAAAAACCTGCACCCTACTAGAACTCTAAGTAACCAAGCCTACCCTTTCAGGGATCCTATGATGATTTCCCCTGGTACTCAGGGAGTCCAAAGATACTAACCATTACGGTATTTGGCCCCTAAAGATCGTTCTGACCTTGGTTTTGGGGGGGGGGGGCTTAGATCCAGACTACGGTTGATGATAGAAACCCTGCATTACCCGTAATAAGGAATATAGAGTAATTCCCATAGCTTAGGGTCCTCAATATCATCAACAGTAGTAATGTCTATGCTGGATAATGTCCGCTTTATTTCAGATGATGGCTGCAGGGCCGCGCTGACTTTCCATCACTGCCTCCGTTCACTCCCGGTCTGGGCTGCTGGCTACTTGGAAGATCATGGGACTTAGTAGGTATTCCCCAACGGTTTAAGTACCTCATATAATCATATACTCACCAAAACCTGATCTACGTAACTAGTATCCTAGAACCGAGTACCCAATGGGTGCTTTGGACCCTTGGGGTGTGAGTGCATTATTAGTTGTAAGTGCCTTCATTGAATCATTGGGGTTGTAAGTATTGCTAGCAAGTATAGATACATCGTTTACAACATAACCAAGTTCACCAGGTTACAACGTCCCATGATCCTTTGAGTGCAACAAAGCCAGAACATGCTCGTGGCCTTTCGCCGAAGCCAACATCAGGGCAGTTTTGCCGCTCTTGTCGGACAGGTCCCTGTCGGCACCAGCGTCGAGCAGCAAACGGACAACTTCGACATGGCCCATCTCAGAAGCACACATCAAGGCGGTGCGGCCCTGTTTGTCGGCAAGGTTCGTGTTGACACCGGCGTCCAACAACAACCGCACAGCTTCGATGCAGCCTTTTCGAGCAGATAGAATTAGGGCAGTGCGGCCGTCGTTGCTGACTACGTCCTTGTGCGCACCAGCGTCCAGCAGCAAACGAACAACTCCGATGTGGCCTTGAACGGATGAAATCATCAGGGCAGTGATGCCATTTTTGTTGGCCAAGTTCACGGCCGCGAGGGCATGCAGCAGCACACGCAAGCTTTCGATGTGGCCTCTGTGACAAGCGACCATCAGCGCTGTGACGCCATCATTGTTGGCCATGTTCTTGTCGGCGCCAGCCTGTAGTAGCAAGCGCAAAATCAAAACGTGGTCTTCCTGGCAAGCCAGCATCATGGCGGTGTTGCCACCACTCATGGCATAGTTCTTGTCTGCACCAGCATCGAGCAGCAAACGCACAACTCCGACATGACCTGGGTGGTTGTCAAAATTGTGGGGTACCTTCTAGGTCCTACAATGCGGCGCCTACTGTTTAGGGTACCCAAAACGGGACCCTAATCTTGACAACCACCCACCTAGACGGCAGGCCATCATCAGAGAACTGAGGCCATCATTCCCGGCTAAGTCTTTGTTGGCCCCGGCGTCCAGCAGCATGCGCGAAACTTCGAGATGGCCTAGACCAGACGAAATTATAAGTGCAGTCCTGCCTTCACTGTTAGTCAGGTTCGTGTCTGCACGAGCATCCAGCAGCAAACGCACAATATCAACTTGGCTTTCTTGTGCGGACAGCATCAGGGCAGTCAAGCCCCCATCGTTGATAAGGTTCTTGTCGGCACCGGCGTCCAAGAGCAGCTGCGAAACCTCGATGTGGCCTTGATGGCAAGCCATCATCAGTGCTGTGATGCCCTCATAGTTGGCAAGGTTCCTGTCGGCGCCGGCCTTAGCTTGGGGACCCCGAAAAAGAACGTAAACAAACACCATAAGTTTGCGATATCCCCGTCTTTGTTAACCCGAAGGCTCCATGTGCTCATATAGTATATACTTCGGCGGAAGCGTGCCCATATTGCAACAGTTGGGGCAAACACAAAGGGTCCCAAGTACCTATATGGAGGATGCTTATCCAAACCATAGCAGCAGTTCTATAATCTAATATTCCTTAAATGCCCACTATTAAGGACCAGAAGGGCTCCATTCAAGCGCCATTGGGGGGGGGTCCTGATAGGACCCTTTCGGTAAAAAAAGGAAACCGGGGCCTCCAGCAGCAAACGCAGAATGTCGATGTGACCACGGGCAGCTGCCAGGGTTAGCGGATTTCCGTGCGACAACCTGGCTTCTTGCCAGGAAACCTTAAGTTTCTATAACTAAGGATCTATAGAAAATAAGCTACTCAAAACAACTCCCTACTACCCCGATAAGCCACAGAAATAACAGGTTAAACTTTCCGATTCCTGCTGAATTACAAGAACCCAACAAGTTTAAAGGTTGGGTATTGAAGATCTAAGACTTCTTATCAAGAACCCAGTGGCAGTGTCGTAGAAGTACTTCCTTCCACTCCGTCCGGGTGCAAAGGAACTTGTAGTAGATCTTCAACCTCGAAGCGAGGATATATTTTGTCATAATTTCTGTTTTCTGGTACATTTTGCTGCTTCAACCTGAAGGAAGTTCGCACTAGTTTCAACTCTTCATCATAGTAGCTTTGCAGCCTACGGTACCTCTTCGCCCTCACCATTGCCATGAGACTCGCACCATCGAAATTGGTGGTGGCAGTGGTGGCTGTGGTGGGGGTGGTGGTCAGCGGCGGCGGTGGGGTGCTGTGTTGCCTGCGCTCGTGACGAAACTCATTCTCTTGACGGTGGCGACGCTGCGATGCTTGCGGATGCCACAGGTATGATGGTGCAATGAAAGGGGCTCGTAGTGGAAAGCCGGAGAGCACGCTCGAAAGCGCACACACACACACAGACACAGAGACACAGACACACACACACACACACAGACACACACACACACACACTCTCAAGAATGGGGGGGTGGGTGGTTGTGAATATGCCCGTGCTTGATGATTGTCGTGACCACGAGAACGATGTTCTTGATGCTAGCGCCGATTGTCGTGACCAAGAGAGCGATGTTCTTGATGCTAACGCCGATGCTCATGCTGGCCAATGTGGTGGAAGAAGGAGGACACCAAGCTGTTGTGATAGTTAAAACCCTGACACATGGCCAACTTCCTAAGTCCCCTGACTTTTGAACTGATACCGATGTGGATGGTGGTTTTGGTGATGATACTGCGGGTGCTGGTGTTGGTAGTGGAGCACGTGGCTGCACCAGTGGCGACGGCGTTTTTTTGAACCTGGCGATGCTGCATCACAGGCTACAAATGTGCTGGTGGGTGAAGGATGTGAAGGATGTGTATTGATGATGAGTGATGCCTATCGTTGTCATGCTGCTGATAGGGATGACATTGAGGGCGACAGTATGCCGATGATAAGGAGGCGATGATCAAGATCTATGCTTCGTCTGCGAATTGTGACGATGTGAATGCTGCTGCATGAAATGTTGACGAATAAAATGATTATGGTCGACGGCATCATCAGCTTCATCATCACCATCAACGTCATCGTCATCAGCGTCGTGAACAGAAGCCGGATAATCCCACATCTTCACTATCGGCATCATTGTTATGCTGCCGTCCTCACATCCGCATACGCACTGTTCCGCTCTTCTTCTGGGTCAGAAGCATCATCCTGTAGCTAAGCCGGATGCTCCTCATGGTTATGTGACTATCATAACCTTGTTGAGCACCACAATGCACCGCCACCGATGCCGCGTGTCTAATCCTTCACATCTCCATATCCTCATTCCAAGGGTAAAAGGAGGGACCCTTAATAAGGACCCCTAGGTATATACCCTTAATATAGCTATTATATACCCATTATATAGCCCATTATAGGGTAGGGGTCCCCATTAAGGGTCCCTCCTTTTCCCCTTTGACTCAAGCCCCTCCAGGGTCCCTCAAAAGTAGGTAAAGCAATGGCCCAACACCTATAAAAGGCTATGATTTTGCATGCTCTTCGGGTTTCGGAATACAACGATACTGCAGACTACAAACATGCGCAGGACCAGATCTGCATATCATTCGCTAGTGCAGACTGCTACAGGTGTAAGGATGGGCCGTGAAGGAGGCCCACTACGCTACAACACAACAGGAAGAGCCCGACCGCCAGGCAAACTCTATACCCCCAAACCCTCAAAGCCAAAACATCCTGCACTTCAGCTTCCTGGCCCCAACGTCGACCCCCACCCCGCTACAACCTTAAAACCTTGATACAAAAACACAGGATAACTTTTGAAAGCCCGAATCCAAAGCCTAAATTCTTAAGCCAAATTCTATACCCCTTCGCCCCCTCCCAAGTACCTCGGCCACCGAGCCTTTGACGACCGCATTTCCAAAAGCTTTCAGCTGGCTCTCGGATGCCTCACAGAACGTCAGCACCACAACCTGCCCGGGCGCTTAGAGTCTAGAGTCCTAGAGTTTTACGGGTTCCTGAAAGGCTGCTGTAGGAGTTTCGGGTTTGGTAGGATTTCATGGGCTCGTATCCAGTAGGCGAGGCGCTACAATTACGGATACTGTAGGGTTTGCAGTGCAGGGTTTCATGAAGGCTTTAGGATCTAGGGTTCTTGGTTCTACAGTCTAGTCTAGTGGCTTAGGAGTGCTTAATTTACCGGTGCTACGGAAGCTTGCATTTTGGGGCTTGTGAGCTGTGGCTTTCGGATTTTGGGTCGATGAGCATGTTCGTATAGCTAGACTAATGTAGGAAGGTGATTAAGAAACCTCGGGCCTTTGTTAATAGTAGTGGAAATGAAAAAAGATCCCAAAGGACAACCCAGATTAGGGTTCCTTATATGAATTCGAATATATTGGGGGTTACAGGCCCAGGGTTTCTTAATCAGATTCCTACATTAGCTGCCAGTATATGATCCCAAGCACTATGCTACTTACTTCGGTCACGATCTTGGGTATTGGGGTGTACAGGCCTTTGGACTTTGTAGTTCACCTGTCGCTCGACTGCGTACTGTTTAAGAGCTATTCCCTGTAGTTATAAGCTCTAAATTTCTAAATCCTAAACTCATTTAAGTTCTAGGATTTACGGTGCTGAGATTATTAGGCTTTCCCTGTTTCAGGATATTCCCTGACGGTTCCTGTCAGGGCACCGCAGGGGTTCCATGATTACAAGGGTTCTGTAGGGTTTTGGGTTTAAGGGTCCATGTACGCACCTATCATTTACTTTGGCCTCACAGGGGTCTCTGTTTAGCTACTTGAGCGCAAAATGTATACTAGTTGGGATCAGGGACCAAGATAGGTGGTTGTCAAAATTAGGGTCTCTTTTCGGGTCCCTATTGTCATAATACGGCACCTATTGCTTAGGGTACCCAGAAGGGACCCCAATTTTGACAACCACCCATATGGATTGTTTCTTGAAACATCTCCACATAGGGCCACCAGAAAGCACAGAAGCAGTAAGTAGGGTTGTGATATCACATATAACCCCCTCTCAATGGAGCCGAATACGCTAATTAGGGATATCCTTGTACAATCCTTATGCTGAATATGGGGCAACTATTTCCAGTCTTGAGCCTGCAAACTCATGGGTAACTCAAGCGTGACAGCGTCATCCAAAGTATATCCCTCGCGAAGCAGCCGTTGCCTAGGCTGCTCAGTAAGTCACTGGGAAGAACACAGGCTCTTGGGTGTGTTCTGTTCTGCTATAATAGGAAATCAGAAACACAAAACAAGCAGCACAAGTTATACTCACCGAAAAACAGAGTTGCCTGAATCGCGGCGGCAGGCCGTGCTGCTGATGCAGTCGCTGCTTCAAAGCCTTGCTCACCCAGAATAAACCAGCAATATTCAAATATTCAGCTTCAGACCCGAATCTCTAAACCCCTAACTCCTAGGCTTATAATAATACCCTTACAGTGCCCCTAAAGGACCCCGGAGTGTGCTCCTACATCAAACCATAGATCTTGACCTTCTCTACCTACTTCCCAAATACCCATAGTTAGCCATGCTTGAAACTCTCAGAATAACAATACTTTATAAAAACACGAAAAGTTGAAAACTCTATTTTGGATTCCCCATTTATAGGTACTTTGGACCTCTAGCGTAAGACTACCTGGAGGACCAGGGAACTTTGTAAGCAGAGTCTTGAAAGTACCCTGATTGGGGTCATAAGTAATTACAAGTAGAGCTACAGCCCCATAACTCCCTGAACCCCAAACCGTAAACCCTCAACCACAAACCCTAAACCCTATAAACCCTAAACCCTAAACATAACCCTTTAAGCAAGTGGCCTTCACATCGCTCAGCTCTTCAAGTGGAAAGCAGACCAACTCTTCCCCCGAGAGCTGTGCGATCCGGAGCATGGCGTCAGAAACCCTAAGGCCCTGCGGCTCCGTGGGTTCCTTCAAGGTGTCAGTTAAGGGTTCTGCTTGAGGGTGACATTAGGGTTCTGCAGGGGTTCTACATGGGTTCTGTTGGGTGTGGGGCTTTAAGTGTCCATGCGCTCATATAGTATAGAGTTTGGCATTACAGGGATTCCTATATGGGAGTTTCCGAAAATAGGGGACCCTAATACAGTACCCTAATTAGTCAGGATCCTTATTATCAGCACCCCAAAATAAGGTACCCCTCATTTTCGGAAACTCCCATATAGGAACTTTAAGGCCTAAATGGTGCCAAGAGCTCGGAGCAAAGCTGTGCGCTGCAATTCAACAAGAGAGGCCTTACTGAACAAACACTGCTTTGAAAGGACCCATAACGCCGCAAGGAAGCAGGTTTTGGGGGGCTTTAGGGCCTCGGGGTCTCAGGTTTACATGCGGAGGTGTGTGTGTGTGTGTGTGTGTGTGTGTGTGTGTGTGTGTCTGTGTGTGTGTGTGTGTCTGTGTGTCTGTGTGTGTGTGTGTGTGCTTCTGGACGTGTATGGGTGCCTAACAAGCTACAAGTAACAAAATTGTCATGCCTGCTGGTCTCCCCATCAAAACTACAGCATGGCTGAGGGGATTTAAGATTTTTGGGTCCTAGGTCCTAGGGTTTTCGGGATTCGAGCTTAGGGCTATTACGAGTTGCTCGGCGGGTGCCGTGCGCAGGCTCTTCTGTAAAGTTCAGGGAACTGATCATCGATGAATTAGGCTGGAAAACTTGACTAGGGTTTTGCTGTTTTGCTTGGTGGCTGTATGCTTCAGAAATACTGGAGAATGCAAAGGAACAGTACTAAAGCTTAAAGGAACGCAAAATGGAGGAACCTTTGAAGAAATCCTTAGGATCGTGTCTAGTCGTCGGATGAAGGAAGGACATGGAGGCGCTCCGGGAAAGCCCTAGCACCTCGAACTCTCAAGCTCCGCAGAAGCCATAAACCCTAACACTAATCCCAAGGGTCCAAAGGACCCAATAATTAGGCATTCGGTTTTGGGATAGTAGTTTTGTAGGCTAGGATTTTGGAGAGTATATGATTATCAGGTACTTGGACCCCCGGGGTAAGACTCCAAGTGCACGAAATGGTACCCACATTGGGCTCCAAAGTCTATAAATAGTGCGTACTTTGGGCTGTTTGGAGCCTTGGGATAAAGTCACCACCCCACAGACGTAAACCGCGTGAAGCGCTAGAGCCATAAACAATGCTAAATTCAAAGGGTTCCAAGATACTACCAGTTTGGGGGCTTAAACCCCATACTAGCAGTGTACATGGGCCCTCTTGAAGAAGCCTGTTGTGATATATGATTAGGGTAACTATACTTATAGCTACTTGTAACCCCAATCAAGGTACTTATGACCTTACTTACTAAGTCCCATGATCCTCCAAGTGATAGATCGATGAAGGATGCCGAGATGCCGTCACCTGTGAGTTTGCCTGGACTCTCCTGAGGGATTCTATACCGATCCCCAAGGGTCCAAAGGACCCAATAATTGGATACTCGGTTGTAGGATAGTAGTTTTGTAGGTTAGGATTTTGGAGAGTGTATCATTATTAGGTACTTGACCCTTCCTTTGTTTGTTTACCCTTTTTGTCCTTTGGCATGCTGTCAGGTAGCCCCAAATTTTGCAGTACAATGGAGGCCTGAGGAATGTTTGATTTGTTGTTGGCTAGAGGGATGTAGCATTTTGAAAGATTTAGACGTTTGGGGCTTAGATTTGCAGTGTTTCGGGCTGCAGCCCTGGGCTCAGAGGGTTGGTTTCGCTGCGGCTGAGGGTTGGGGATGCAGATGTCATGGGATTGCTGCCGTCTGGCACTTTTTGCGGGCAACTTGCCCCCAGGCTTCAACTAAAACCTAAACCCTAAACCCTAAACCGCTTGTGGGGCTCTAGGTGCAAAGAACCATTCAGAGCATGGTAGTTGGGACCACGGCCTGCTGGTTGTGCAGTTGGACTCGCAGGGTTACAGAACACTTGTGGCCACCTTTATAGCAACCCCTAAACCCTCCACCCTGATACTTAGGTCCCTTAGAGTACCCCTTCAACTTCAAGTAGCCCAGTATATAGATCCCGTAAAGGAACCCCCCCAATGTAGGAAGGGCTGCTGGGCTAACAACCCTCAGCACTACATAACTCTACCAAATGCCTCTAAGCACTATAGCCCTAAACCCTAAACCCTAAACCCCTAAACCCTAAACCTTAAACCCTAAACCCCTAAACCCTAAACCCCTAAACCCTAAACCCCTAAACCCTAAACCCTAATTTTATAGCCCTAAAGCCGAGACCCGTCCTTAGACCTTCAACCTTCACCCCCTGGCAGCAGACCCCAAAGCCCTTAGACCCCGAAACCTGCTATTAGGGTTTAGGGTTTAGGGTTTAGGGCTATATAGGGTTTAGGGTTTAGGGTTTAAGGTTTAGGGTTTAGGGTTTAGGGTTTAAGGTTTAGGGTTTAGGGCTATATAGGGTTTAGGGTTTAAGGTTTAGGGTTTAGGGTTTAGGGTTTAAGGTTTAGGGTTTAGGGCTATATAGGGTTTAGGGTTTAAGGTTTAGGGTTTAGGGCTATATAGGTTTTAGGGTTTGCCAATCCCTGAACCCCGAAAATCTCGCGACCCCGCCCTTGGACCTGAAACCCTTCAACTCCGACACCCCAAACCCTAAAACCTAAACCCTTAAATCTTAGCCCTCAAAAAGCCGCCTAAATTCACTGCCCTTGCAAAGCCCTTAGAGTAGCCCTGAAAGAATCCCTTACGGTACATGGAGCCTGACGAGGTGTCGATTTCAACAGTTCCCAAAAGCATGTATAATTCCGGCTCTAGATTACACAAGAATAGGGGAATAAACGGGTGTGCCACATCGATACCTAGTCCCTAAACCCTGAACCACGTATAGATCCCCATTTCAAGGAATCCTAAACCCCTCAACCTCTATGAGGAAAGTTCGAGACCTATTAGCCCCAAACCACGTATAGATCCATTATAGAGCCCTTATAGGTCCCTCTGAAAGAACCCTTATATTACCCCTTAAAGGAAGCCTTAAAGGGCACATGCAGCAGGCCAAGGCACCCCACGCGCCTGGCGAGGCTCCGATCGCTGTAGCAGTCGGCAGCCTTGAAGCTCAAGTCTGTGCAAGGGGCCTTGGGGTTCCTTAATAGGTTAGGGGCCTAGGGATCCTTTAAAGGGGCCTAGGGGTCCTTTAAAGGGGCCGAGGGGTCCTTTAAAGAGTTCTATAAGATCCTTGCAGGGCTCGCGAAAAAGGCTCCGGTTTGAAGTGAAAGGGGAGCTTTGTGCTTATTGGGTTGTTGGGTTTCGGCTTCCTTGAAGGACTCCTTAAAGGGCTTCTATAAGATCAGTGTAAGGATACTTCGCATGGTGGGTCTGATTCAGACAAGCTTGTGCTTGCAGGATCAGGGGCTTGAATACGTGTGGGTTTTGGGTTTACGGGATTCGGGTTTGTACGGTAGACGATGCCGGGGTTTAGGGTCTAGGGTCGTTGCACCGAAATGAGATCTAGGCCGTGAAGAGTACCCTGAAACCCCGAACCCCAAACCCTGGACTCCTACGACCTTGTTGGTTTCAACCCTAAACCCTAAACCCTAAACCGAATAGTGGAATTATCTTATGGCTCTTGTCTACTTAGGCTATTACGCGAAAGCCTTTGGTTTAGGGCTTTGGGGTTTAGAGTTTACCTAGTATCCCCCCAAACAAAATGCATATACCCTTTTGTCGGTAATTTGGTTCCTCTAAGTAGGGCCACAATCAAGAAAACCTCAACTAGCTCTACACCCTTAGTAATTAAGCCCCAACACTCTGATTCCCAATTGAGATCATATTCAAAGCCAGCGGAATGTAGAAGGGCCATCCGTGCACTCTCCCGCTGCATATAACTTCTGGTGACCTTCGTGAACACTCACAAAATCACTGGACTAATTCTGCGGGTCTCCTGTTCCGCCTGCCCTTTGCAAAGATCTAGTAATGGTCTGGTGTTTAGGGTTGTCGTTTTGTGTTAACGCCCAACAACAAAAAACAAATCCTACCAGCGGCTCAGGCCTCCATGACCAGCGCAAATCGCCCGACATCTTCTGTGTGCATCTTCCAAATCAAAACCTGGGAAACACCATTCGGGTGCATGAAGCTTCCAATGATATAGGGCAATCAATTAATGGTAACTGAAGGGCTTACTGTCTAGGGCTAGGATTCAGTTAGGATCCAAAACATACCCTGACACGAGAAATTCCTCTACATGCAAGCTTCACCGACCACCACGTGCTTCCCTAACTCCAGGGCCCCGCAGCTAGATGCGTAGGCGTACACCCTGCTGCTTGGCCGCATGCAACATGACAGTGACAGTTGAAGACTGCGCTTTAGCTTGGTTGCATGGGCTGAAACCTTTAATTTAGATCCGTTGTTGATCCCAAACACGCGACTCTTAAACCCTCAAGGAGACCCAACTAATATTTAGATACCTTCCGTGAGGTTGCAGGGCTGCGTTCTGAATCCTGCTTTTTTCAACATTATAATACTTGGAGGCTCAGGGGTAGTCACAAAAGAGGTCATAAGTAAAGTAACTATATTAGTATCCGACCCTCCCCTAAGTGCTCGTTATCAAGCGAAGTCAGGCTACATAGTCCACGTCTTCCAAACGAATCTCGGAAGGCCGCGAACGCCTGTTCGCTAAGCTGCTCGGCACGCCGTTCTCCTGAACACGCACCCTTGCGACAGTACCCATCAGCACTTCAACGTGCCACGCCGCCGATAGGTCAACTACCACTTCTCAGCTGCAGTCCTCCGCCGAGGTCTGCGACAAATCTTCAACTCGGGTCGTCTGCATCTCTTCGCCGCAAGAAAGATCGCAAGCCTTGCGTCTGCCAGCCAAGCTCCCGCCTCCCTCTATGATGCCCTCATGATACACCGCAAGTCTGAATCTTGTGAAGCTTTCTCGCGCCGTGCAACCCGCGTGTGTCTTCGTGAAGGACTTGCCCACTCCAACCACGTCCTGCAAGGACGAGGATGGTCTCTTGCACACATCACGACGCAAGGAGAAGACACCAACATACAACCGAGTCCTGCAGCCGTGTCAGCATCTTGTGACGAGGCGCAAGCCGGCAGCATGCAATTCTCATCAGCAGTGCTGCATACGCAGAAGGCGTGATGCCTCCGACAAGAGCTCAAGAGCACGCTCGTAGATGAGCGAGCTTTTGCGCAGCGAATCGACACGCTGAGCGGGTCTGGTGCTTTCATTTGCTTCGAGCTGTCGCGAGCGAAGTCGAGTCCGCGCTGAAGGTTAAAAAGGTCCCAAACCCCTCCACTTTGACACATGCTTTCGGCAAGAGCAACCGACAAGGATGCCGCAAGTCCAGGCGAAGCATGTCCTTGACCTGATTAATCTAGCACGACCGGTCTTATTCCTCATGCAAAAGCTTCTCAAACGAATGACTAAATTATCAGATTTCTACAAGAAGCGAACAGCTTAAATGGCACTTGACAGGAGGCAGAAACCGGCATCCGCAACCTTGTGTCGCCTGTAAGCTTAGCAAGAACCCAGATCAGGCACAGGCCTCCAGCAGCTCATCGCCCAGGGGAATCGGTATAACCCCAAATAAGGTTCTTGCAAACCTTACTTTCTCAGTCCCATGACCCTCCAAGTAAGCTCCAAATCCTGTGAGGTTAGCTTGGAGTAGCAAGTAGGGGGTGTGCCATCCTAACGTCCAGGATATGTTAGCTTCCCTGGTCTGAGAAACTTCACCCAAAGCCTTTACCGGAAAGTCTCTGAAACTAAACCCATGACCCCGTAAAACTCCCACTAAACCCTAGCATCCCTAAGCCCTATACCCGGAAGTCTCTGAAAACTCCGGCAAAATCTACACCCTAATTTGAACTCAAACCCTGAAATTCCCCCTAACTAAGCCCTACCCTAAGGCTCGTGGACCCTTGTAGTACGGTCCCAAATCCTAGCTCCCAAAGCCGAAACCCTCCCTCAGAAGGCCCAACACCCTGGTAGGAGCCTCAGGGTGGAGAAAAAATCCACACCCCGAATCCGAAAGTCTCTTAAACCCTAAACCCTAAACCCTAAACCCTAAACCCGCAACCCTAAAATCTGAACCCAAGACACCGGCAGGCTCAGATATCGCACCAACAAGCATGGGTGCGACACGCCGTCGCGCCCCATCTTACTGAGCTCCTCGCGAAGCATCCGCGGAAGTGCTAGGAACTGCTTGAAAACGGGTTTAGGGCCTAGGGGTCTTAGGGTTTAGGGGTTTAGGGGCTTAGGGTTTCAGTATTTAGGGGTTTAGGGTCGAGGGGTCTTAGGGTTTAGGGGTTTAAGGCGCTTAGGGTTTAGGGGTTTATGGGCGTAGGGCATAGGGCTTTAGGGCTTTAGGGGCGTAGGGCTTTAAGGCTTGAGGGTTTACGGGAGAGTGCGGATCTCCGAGATTTCTTAGCCTCAGCGACCGACCCGGACAAGAACATGCTTCGGCACGGATCGTAGTCTTAGATAAGAGCCTGAAGCCCTATAAACCCTAAATCCCTGAACCCTCACCCTGAGGCTCCATGCATCAGCCGCCTTGCGTGTTGTAACTTGTACTCTATAGCAAGTAAGGTTAGAAGTACCTTAAATTGGGTTATAAGTAGTTATAGTTGTAGTTACCCTAATTATAACCCTAGTTACTAGAGCGCCCTTCTTCAAGTTCGGCCGGCTTCTCCAGCTCTTGCTCCGAGAGCCGAGTACACGGCCCCTCAGCCCTTTTGGCAGCATAGCTTCCGCTCCAAGCCTCTGGTTTCTGGGCTTTGGGTTTAGGGTTTGCTTTGGGGGTGGAGGAGCATGTAAGCTTTGTTCGGCTCTTGCAGTCTAGTCTGCACGAGTCTGCACGACCCGACACAGGAAAAGATGTTGCACTTTCGATGCTTCTTGCCTCAAGTACAGCTCACACGGAAGCAACGCAGCACACACAGAAGCAACAGCGGGCAGGAGCTCTTGAAACGTCAAATTCGGGGTTTAGGGTTTAGGGGTGTGGGGGATTAAGGGTTCAGGGCTTAGGGACTTAAGGGTTTGGGGTGAACTGAGATCACTAAACCCCACCTGGATCCTAAGACATCTACCTTGTCATGGCTCCAAGTTACGATTTCTGTATACAAGTTGTTGAAAAGGTAAGCTAGTTGGACTCTAAAGCCTGAGGTTCTTGGCAGAAGAAACCTGGTCAGGCTTACGACGAGAGTTCGGGTTTGGGTTTAGGGTTTAGGGTTTAGGGCTTAGGGTTGCATCAAGGATTTTGAGGGCTTTGGGTTTAGAGTTTTAGGGTTTGGGGCTTGGGATATGGGAGGGCCCCTTATTGGTCCTATTGCCAAATATACGAGCCCCATCTTTTGTCATCAGGGTTGGGGTCAAACGATACACACTCAGTCGAATAGTATACGCAACCCGAAATCCGAATAGACCTACAGCAGGTGGAGCATCATGACCCTGATGCCCTTAAGCCAACGTATAGGGAATTCCGGCAAACCAAGCTCCAATAACACTAAACCAACCTTAAAAGAGCCATTCTATGTCCCGTTACAGGGTAGGGATCCCCATCAAGGGTCCCTCCTTTTGCCCTTTGACCCTAAACCCTAAAGCCTAAACCCTGAAACGCCTAAGGCCTGAGTGTCCCCTGTCCTTGATGACCGGTACGCACCAGCCACCCGGGATGATACCTGCGACGGGGATAGGGTTTGCTTGGAGGATCATGAGACTTAGTTTAGGGCTTAGGGATCCTCAAAAGGGATCCTCAAAGGGTTCCTTAACGGGATCTAGAGGGTTTAGGGTTTAGGGTTTTCTTGGAGGATCATGAGACTTAGTAAGTAAGGTTATAAGTCCCGTATTGCGGTTATAAGAAAGTTGTAGGTACAGTGACCTTATTTAAAACCTCATAGCTACCGAGTCCTCCCATGATCCTTTAAGTAGGGTTTAGTGCTTAGGGTTCAGTAGACTTCCGTAGCATAGCGACCGGAATACGTCGAACGGGCTTCGTTTAAAGGGGCCCCTCCCTTACGGGTTCTATAATGATTTTGGGTTTAGGTTGCAAGGCCCTTGATCGTCACAAGAAGGTTTGGGGGTAGATTATTCTTCAATCCACAAGGAGCCCCCGTAGGGATGGTCTTGGCAAACGTCCAAGATATTGTAAACAAAGTCACCGGGGTTTCAGTTAGGCAACCAGGGCTCAGCATTGAAGGTTACAAGTGACCGCAGAAAGAACCGTAGGGTTAAGAGTTTATTATACGGTTCAGAGCTTAAGGCTTATAGGGATAATCCTTTTCCCAATCTTTTTAACCTCTCCTTTAAAGACCCTATACTGTCAGCTCCAAAGAACTCAAAGAGTAAAGGTCCTCAGGTTCTGGCTAAATCTCAAAAAGGAATCACCGACACACTCGCAACAGCGCCCTTACAGGGCACCGAACATCTAGAAGCCTAAGTAATTGCCAACGCGATTTTTTTCATAGGGATCCTTAGGGGTGTAGGGGGAGGGGGGGGGGGGGGGAGGGGGCCTTAAGGCCCATAATAAGGACTAATAAGGCCTATTTAAGGAAATATAGTCCCCTACACCCCACCCCCTACACCCCTAAGGATCCCTATGATTTTTCTGAGTATCAGAAAATGCCACAACGAACTTAAGGATCCAATTGATGGAACCCTACTCTATGAAGTTTCCTGCAGAACCATCGCCTTTATAGAATAGGAGGAACCCTGTTATAATAATAAGAAAGATAACAGTAATAATAATAATGACAAAATATTGATAAGAATAAACGCCTCTAAACCGTTAACTCTGAATCCCTTATCCTAAAGGAGCCCTTAAGCCTTAACAAACAGCTTATAGAACCCCGAATAGAGCCCTTTAGATGAACCCTAAACCCCGAACCTAAACTTGTGAACCCCACACCCTGTTCTACTTCTCCAGGCTCCGACAACTCGGAGCCTCGCGGAGCTCGGGTCATATCGGCACTTTCGTAGTCGTAATACCTGGAACACTAAGGCTCCATGTACCCATATAGTATATACTTAGGCCTTAAAGTACCTATAGAGGGACACCTTTGAGGCTTAAGTATCTACTATAATAGTACATGGAGCCTTTGGGGAAGGAGGATCATGGGACTTACTGAGTAAGGCACTAAATCCTAAACCCTACGGTATCCTTTTAAAGGCCCATGCAGAAACGTTCTGGCCAAGGCACGCCGCTCGTCGATCGTCGCTGTACACTTTGATCCTGAAGCAACCCAGTTTAGGGTTTGTTTGGGGTTTACTTAGGGATTGGGGTTTAGGGTTTAGGGATTGGGGTTAGGGTTTAGGCTTTGGGGCTTGGGGTTTAGGGATTGGGGTTCAGGGTTTACCAAGCAGTGGGATGTGAGGCTTAGGGGCCTTGATAATTGGAATATCGTTTTTTGGGGGCTCCTTCTTACAATTAAAGTAGAATTTGTCTGATTTTTTCTTTAATTATTAGGGCCACTATATTGATCCTTTTTCTGGGGTCTTACTGTACTTCGAAGGGCTGTCCGGCTAAACGGCTACCGTGAGGCAGACTGCTGTCGGTACGCCCAGGACTTCCCAAAGTGAGCTGGTCAGAACCCGGCTGGGCAGGTAGCATGTTAACAATTTCTGTGTTTACGTGTGTGCATATGTACACACGTTTTATTTATTTGTTTTTTAAAGTTCTATGCGCAGATGTATGTACTTGTATGTACGTCCCCGCCATAGTTGAAAGGTTAACTATTCGGACTAGGGTACCCAGTCCCTCCGATGAAGAGGTCCGAGTTTGGAAGGCTCCTACTACCCACAAGCAGCATGAGCTGAATCCTCTGGGCGAGTCTGGGGGTTCAGGGTTCCAGGTTGGGTTGGTTCAGATTTAGGATTCAAGGTTTCTTAAAGTTTAAGGCTTAGGGCCTGGAGAAAAGGCCTTCTGTTTGTTGAGGACCATACCCAGAGGCTCATACCCTACCCCTTTTCTAGCGCGCCTACACTTTAAGATCACCGATCCTAACCATAAAACTAGGTATTCCTAAAAAAGGGTAGGGCATACGAAAGAGCGGCACCAGACCTTTGCATATCTTGATCGATATGCAGGCAAGAACGAGGAGTCGCTCAGGTCTAGTTTGTGATTCCGGAGAACTTTATTAGGGGCTCAAATAATTACCTATACCATAAAGTTAAATATAGTAGAATGTGCCCCCAAACCCTATTTTATTATAGAGAAGGCCCCTATAGTACCTGTTCTCAAGCTCTCTCTTCCCAGGACATGGGCACATGAACCCTTACCCTAAGGCTCCATGTAGCCATATAGTACATACTTAGGCCTTATAATAATATAGGAACCCTTTTTAATAAGGTCTAAGTATATACTATATATGGCTACATGGAGCCTTAGGGTTATAAGGGTTAACCCTTCAGGCCCACCTTACGCAACGCGAGCCGGAGTTGTAGATCCAGGAGCCTCGCTACCAAGACCCCCCGATGGGTTTAGGGTGTAGGGGCTTAGGGTTTAGGGGTTTAGGGGTTTAGGGGTTAGGGTTTAGGGTTTAGGCGTTTAGGGGTTCTAAGCCAAGCTAATCCTAGCACTCTTGACCTAAGTTAGGGTTCGGGGTCTATGGCTTTCCTTAACCCACCAAACCCTACTTAAATTGCAGGGTCCCTGAGGCCTACAGAAGTAGATGTAGTTGGAAAATGAGCGGGTTTTGAGGTGTCGGGTTCAGGAACTTCAGGCTTCGAGCTTACCAGAGTTTGGAGGCTTGGGTTCAGATCTTAGGGCTCAGGGGGTTTGGGGTTGGAGATTTCGGGGTTAGGGCTTACCCTAAGGCTCCTCAGAGGGTTTTGGACCTTCTGGGGGAGGGTTTCGGCTTTGGGGGCCAGGGTTTGGGACCTCACTGCAAGGGTCCGGGAGCCTCAGGGTAGCGTCCCAGAAGGTTGGTATTGTTATGGGGAAAACTTTCGCAAAACATGATGGTAGTTCCTACTATAGGAAACCCTACATTCTACTATATAGGTACTTCGGACCCTTTGGGTTTGTTGTGAACCGATGAATTCTCCTTGTGCTTATTCTTGACTGATCAGTGGCTGTCGTTGCGATTTGTGACTGCCATCATTGCTGTGTTCATGGCGCTTACATCTCGACCCACAGGGCCAGAATGGGGACCCGTTATCCGCAAGTGTATGTTTGCATGGCCGTTCGCCTGCATGTAGGCGCATGCAGTGCATGTAAATACGAAAACAGTGTGCATGTAAATACAAAAACAGTGTGCATGCACATATACAGTTTGTCCATAGACGCTCACGTTCGTAGAAGGAATGGGCTGTGTGTGCCTATTTGTGTATGCTCATGCAGGATAGAAAACTGTATTGGGAGACAGATAGTTAGACAAAAGTACAATCCGCTTGCAATTGCAATCCCTTTGATGCTCATGTAACCCTGCTCAGCCAAACTGCAAAGCAACGTCGACCATGTAGCAATTTTGGACACAGACATTTCCGTTTCAAGATTGCCAGTTCTGCTAATTACAGACCTTACACGTCCTTCTAGGTGGATGTTTGAGTTGCTGTCTTAGCCTTTTGCCCAAACTCTTATAGTCAACAGAATTATGCTTGCGTAACTCATGGTCGTGTCAACGTGGCTCGAACGAAATACAACTAAAACCCTAAAGTGTCAGTTGCTATCCAAAATGCTCAATGCAGCCGCGACCGCCGTTTTTCGACAGCCTGTCTCCTTGGCATGCAGGCAAAGATCGCAGTACCCCTCAGTGGCGAGTCTCGGGCCCGTTTGCTGAAACCAACATTGCCCCCAAAACCCTGGAACAAAAAAAGACTCCCAACCCAACCCCAACAAGCATGACACTGAGCGAGTCTTTTCCGGGAACTAGCCCTCACACATCCCTGCCGTGTCAATGAAAAAAGCAAATGAACAGTGGAGGTCAGCAGCCGGAAACACTTTCTGTAAACAGCTTGGCTGCCCCGGCTGAAAGCAGCACACCTAAGCCCCATCGAAACGACAGCCGAAGCCTGCGATACAGTCTATCCTAGGCTCAAAAGTTTCAATGTCCTGAACAGCTCAACCTAGCATTTATTAGCCTCTACGCCCTTTTGCACCGCTCACTCCAGCCCCAGAAACAAACACACTACCAGGACCTCAATAGTCCCAGGGTTTTGGCACACATCTGGTATACGGTTGATGATATAAATCCTGCATTACCCATAATAAGAAATATACCATAATTACCATAGTTTAGGGCCCTTAAGGTAATGCAGGATTTATATCATCAACCGTATTCTATAGCTGGATGATTATGGAAGCCTCAGGAGGCCTTGAAACATCCATTGTAGGGCTGCTGGTAGATGTGTTTGGGGTGTCGGGTCGAGGGTTGTTTGGGGTTGAGAGTGACCCTGAAGGTCCATGTAGTCAAATGTGGCCTTAATGTTGTCCCTGTTTGGGTACTTTCATGCCAGTTCATGCAATTTAGGCACATGGGACCCTTAGGATGAGGCGTCTTTGGTTCCGGGTGCAGATGAAAGCACCTAGGCCCTGCATGGGTACCTCAAGGAACCCAGGCCTTTCAAACCTGAAACCCAATCCGCCCCTAAGCTTGCAGAGCCTTCCGGAGCGAGTTCTCCGAAGAAGGAACCCAGTCACCCCTCATGGCCTGCATTTAGCGCTTAGGGGTTCAGAGCCCCGATAACATCCAACAGCCCTAAACCCCTAAACCCTGAACCGATAACCCTAAACCCAAAGTCCCAGTGCATCCAAAGGCACAAATTTCAGCTCCAGCAACTTTTTCTCCGGCCTGGGCTGCAGAAATCGGGGGAAATGGCTCGACGGCGCCGCAATCTTGGGAGTTTGCGAAAATTAAGGGTGGCTTTAAAGGGATCCAGTAAGGTTTCCTTTAAGGGTTCCTATAAGGGATCTATAGGATATAGGGTGGGGGAGTTTCCGAAAATTAGGGGTACCCTATTTTGGTGGTAGGGTGCCATTTTGGGGTCCCCTGTTTTCGGAAGCTCCCATATAGGGATCTGACATGAATAGTACGAACTGGCACATCCTTGAGGCTTCGAAATGATATGATAGTAGAAAATCATATGCCTCTAAATCCAGTTGGGAGTTTCCGAAAATAGGGGACCCTAATTTAGTACCCTACATAGCAGGATCCTTACTATAAGGACCCCAAAATAAGGTACCCCCAATTGTCGGAAACTCCCAGTTGGCTGATTCTACATGCCCCTGAAGAAGGCCTCAACTTCTGGGGGCTTCAAAACATCAAGGCCGAGCAAGGATTACTTGGAGGGGCAGGGTACTTAGTAAGTCGTTTATAAGTAGGGTTATACTTGGTGTAACTCCATGTAGGGTACTTATAACTCTACTTATCTCCTACTTACTAAGTCCCCTGCCCCTCCACGTATCACCTCTTCAAACTGAAGCGCTGGCCAAGAAAGAAACCCACCGAGGTAGCATTTTCCTAACCTAGCTTACTCCAATAAGCCACAGAAATAAAAGATTAAACTTTCCGATTCCTACAAATCTACAAGAACCCAAAAAGTTTAAAACATTGGTATTGGGGATCTAAGATTTTCCTAACCTAAGGTACGATGACCCTTTCCAAAGCAGCCCAGAGCAAAGAAGCTGTAGGTACCATAAGGCATAGGTCCAGGTTGGTCCAAGTAGCACTGTCCTCCTCGCTGACAGGTTAGTGGGTTTAGCGGGCCTTGTCGACATCCTGATTTTATGAATATGTTTAAACTGCTCAAGATCCCGATGGTGTACTACACAATGCGATGCTGATTGCCACAACTGTTACAGCGAACCCTATAAAAACCCGTCTTGAGCCTTGCAAGGAGCCTTACATAATCCGCTATAAAGGACTCCTAGTCTGAAATCTGAAGGTTTTGTTAAGTCTGTTAACTAACAGACAAGGTCGACAAAGCTCGCTAGCATAGGACTTATGGCCTTCAGGCTTCAGGGTTTGAGGCTTTAGGGTTTTGGGACTTGGTCGCACAAATTGATGGTCGACTTGGCCGCGGTCATGTTGTCGCTGGCAATGGCATGGGACTCCAAAACATCTTTTTTCCACCGGTTGACCACCCCAAAGGCTCCATGTAAGTCATATAGTACATACTTATATAGGCCTTGAAGTACCTATATAGGAACCCCTTGAAGGCCTAAGTATATATACTATATGGCTACATGGAGCCTTAGGGCACCGCGTTTTCCGTCCGCCCTATCAACCCTCGTGTGGGCTCATGGCAGGGTCCCAGAACAGCTGATCTGGCCCCAAGGGTCCAAAGGACCCAATAATTTGGTGCTCGGTTTTAGGATATTAGTTACGCAGATAGGATTTTGATGAGTATATGGATATGAGGTACTTGCACCGTTGGGGTAGGTGACGATTTCAACAGCTCCCAAATGAATGTATGATTAGAGCTCTATATTAAACCTAAGGGAAACAGCGCCAACTTTTGAATCAGGGCTCTATGCTAAACAATAAGGCAATAAATATGTTAGCCCAAGTCGATGACCAGTGATTTGGCAGGGACTTTCTGATCCGCGTGAGTATGGGGCTCGTGCTCGATTTCCGTAATGCAATCATGCACCAAGGGGGAAAGGGAGGGACCCTTAATGGGGACCCCTACCCTATAATGGGCTATATAATGGTTATATACTAGCAAACTTAAGGGTTTATACCTAGGGGTCCTTATTAAGGGTCCCTCCTTCTACCCTTGGAATCCAGGAAGCGGCATACTCCTCCAATAAGCTTGAAGGTTCTGGGGAAACAGAGCCGCGAGCTAGTGGGGAGCCGGCAAAACCCCAACCTTCTTCTCCACGTTGCACCGTTTTCGTATGTGGTTTTGGCAGGAAGTAAAAAACGAAGCTGACCTTGGAGATGTCAGCCTGGGCATGATTGGGCTCTTTCACTGGGCTTTTAAGAGTCCAGGGAGAAAAAAGTATAAACTTTTATTTCATAGCTGGCGAGGCCGAAAATAGAATTTTTCCGGGTTCCCCAGTAGCCTCTGAAAATCAAGGGTACCCTTTTCCCCACTCTTCTGGACAAGGGTAATTGAAGGGGTTCTACGAGGTCTGGTTTCGAAACGGTCTAGGCTTTAGAATTTAATCAGCGGTTTGGGTTTGGGGTGTAGGGCAGTCAGAGGTAGAGACAGGGGATCCTGGGGGGCTTTGCATGTGGCCCAAACAAGCAGGGTTTCGAAGGTATCTTAGCAGCACTGTTAAGGATTGAGGCCCAGAAGTATGCTGAATACTTCTTAAAAATGAGCTTTTGAAGGACACCCTAAACCCTAAACCACCCACATGCTTTATTGATCTGTAAAGGCGCTCTTGAAAGAAACCTCTCTGAGAGCTCTGCCCATCCTCTTGCGGGGCAGCTTGGAGCTTTATCTCCTGGAGCATGGGTGGCACTTAAAGAAGAACCTATTTGAGTACGATCTTGGTGGATTCGTCGGCTTGTCCGGCAGTCCTACACGGGCAGGCCGGCAAACGTCCAGGGAAAATGGCATGTCCAAACATGATGCACATGCAAAACTGACTTCCTAAGGAAGTCTCGTTCGTGAAGAGGGCAAAGTTGCTCAGACACGATCCACCTTATCATGAAACATGCTGCCAAAAATGCTGCGGCAACGAGGGACCCGAAGGAATCGTGCTACTACCTCTTACTCCCCCAATAAGCCACAGAAATAAAAGGATAAACTTTCCGATTCCTACTATTCTACAAGAACCCCAAAAATAAGAAGTCTAAAGGTTGGGTACTGGGGATCTAAGATCTATTCCGACCCCTCATCAGTCGGTCAGAAGCGGGTCCTTTGGCACTTTGGCCAGGTCAATACTTACCTAGAATATCGGTAGTTCCATATATTCGATATTCCTAGACAGCAGCTTTGTAGATGGATTATATAGAGCTTAGGATGTAGGGCTTCAGGCTTATAGGGTTTAAGCTTCTTTAATTTTTATGGGTTGACATAAATTTTATCTAGGCTTTAGCGGCGCCTGCAGCAAGAAGAAGAGAAGCAGTCCGAGCACTGCCTTGGCCATCAGTTTCCGATTACGAGCCGAGTCGAACTATTGACGAGCCGAAGACTTCTTAAAGGATCATGAGACTTAGTAACTGGGGCTATAAAATTAGGGTAACTATACTTATAACTACTTATAACTTATAACCCCAATTAATTGAGGTACTTATAACCTTACTTACTAAGTCCCATGATCCTCCAAGTTGTAGCATTCTTACAAGAAGGACGGATTAGAGTGATTTCTGCTTTTGATTTGCCAATTGCTGAATGGCAGTTTGATTATATAGTAGTGCTTTCGATTTTCTTAGCGCCAGATTCAGAGCTTACTGTAGGGGAAGGCTTAGCCCAGGGGTTTGGCCTACTTCACTGGAGGGCCACATATATTTTCTATATTAGGGTTTCACCACCAACGACGAGAAATAAGGGTTGTGGCAGTCTAAGGTAGCGTCTACGTGGAGGGTCATGGGATTTAGTAGCTAGAAGGAGATAAACAAGGTACTTATAACCTTACTTACTATGTCCCATCATCCTGAGTTTGCAGCTACGCGTGCAGCTTTTCAGGGCTGTTTGGGCATGGAAGGGGTCGACATCACGGTTAGCGGCTTGAAACCACGCAGGGTCTTAACCCTACCTGCGCCACCGACAGTTTGCGTCGCTATCTCGGAGTAGATACGCATCGGGAATATCTCTATATAGGGATGTTGACAGCTTGCATGGTCTGGGAAACACACCGTGCCAGGGCAGTTTAGAGCCATATATAAGGTCTGAGAGATGTAGAGTTTGGGATGTGGGGCGTGCTTGGCGATTGGGTTCAGGATCCTGCAGAGGCTTGTAGATAGCATCGTGCGGTAGGGTTTAGGGGTTAGGGTTTAGGGGTTAGGGTTTAGGTAGACCACAACAGCCATCCAATACGGAAAAAGCATCCTGGAAGCCCCAACTTGAGAAATCCTGAACCCTCAATCCTGAACCCATCACCTCAAACCCTACAACATTACCCTAAGGCTCAAAATAGCCCAAAAGCGTCATATAGTATGGTCTTTAGGCCCAAAAGCCACAAAATACGAGTCCTTCGAGCCTTCGGGTTAGCCCCTAAACCCCAACGGGCACGCATCGCAGGGTCCACTTGCCTATAGCACAAGGTCCAAATACCAAATAATCGTGCGCAGGCTTAGGCTTTTGGAGTACTAGGGATTAGGGTTCTGGGCTTAGGCTTATGGGATTAGGGCTCGGGGCTGATACGGTCTGGGGTATTTTGAGAAGCCCCCATGCACAATTGAAACATGGTCGTATGGCTCGTCGAACCCTGTGAACCCCCCCATGTTACAGCTAGCTAAAAGCTCAACCCTAAACCCTAGGAACCCGGAAAGACTCTTATCCAGCTAAGCTGATGGCTGAGATAGTGATCCACCGTGGGATGGATGCGGCAGCCAGCGCGGCCGCCGGCGGAAGCCTCACCCGAAGCACTACTCCCAATGTTGGGGCTGGGCCTTGCCCAGGGTCTTGGGACTTGGGTGATATTATCGGAGTATTATCGCGTGACTCGGCCGCAGAAGACAATATTGCAACGGACATGTACGAACCCAGCGGAAGCCAGGTACATACCGGAACAATCGTGTTCTCCCAAAAACCTAACAGGCCCCCAACAGTTTACACTTTCAGTTCTGAACGGAGTTATCCTGCGCCAACGTGTCTAAAGTGTACTCATTCATTCATGTACTAAGCCATTACATGTCGACTTGGTCAGCGAGGTTTGCCTATGTGCTTGAGCAGCCGGGTCCTCCAACCCCAAACTAACACCAAACACCTGCCATTCCTCCTCCCCCCCCGCCCCGCTCAAATCCCAGACCACAACTTGAACACCCCCAAGCATCCTAGAAGCACTAGAATCCCAAGCACCAAAACCTTCTGAATCCCCCTAAAGCCTCGACAATCCTAAGCTCTTAACACCTACACCCCATAAAAATTCACAAAACAAACTTTTTGTTATACATAGAACCCGTAAATAACCTAGTATCTCAAGTCTTAAACGGAGGTAAACCTGCAAGCAAGCAGCCAGGCCCGCGACGGCCGTTGAGAAGCCACCTGTCTCTGTTGAGTTTTCCAGTTAGGACCTTTAATATGTTACGGTTGTACTTGGAGGTTAAGGGGTAGTTACAAGTGGGTTACAAGTGAGGTAACTTTGAATTAACCCGTTTTGAGGGACTTATAACTCCACTTAGCAACTACCCATGAACCTACAAGTAGGTAGTTGTCAAAATTATGGTTTCCGTTTTGGGTACCCTAAATATTAGGTGCCGTATTGTAACAAGGACCCAAAAGGGACCTTAAGTTTGACAACTACCCAAGTATGTATGGAGAGTTCTCAAAGTTGACTCGAAGCTAAGCTGAAAGCACTGTTGGAGAACAAAACCATAAGCCTAACAATACAACAAGAAACTCTAGGAACACACGAACATTGCATAAAACTTGTTTGTGGCAACGCCGTGTTTCTTGGTTTGGATTGCTTGCTTTCCCTGTGTTGGCATTCCTTCTGATGGTTTGTGGTTACCCGGCCACCCTGCCAAATAGGTCCCACTGATCGTGTAATTCGGTACTCTATCTTTAGTGATTCTAAGCCCTAAGGCCCTAAGCTCAGCATCCCTTAAATCCTAACCCCTTGCCGGGAATCGGAGTTCAACCAAAATATTGCATAGGTACCGAATGGCTGCAGACAAATATATGTGGAAAAATTCCCCAACTCGCACCGAGTTTCTACATGTCTGGTTTGGGGTACCGAAGCTCAGTCACACCGGGTGAAACAAAAAGCATTGTTGGCATGATCATATCCAATATCATTGAAAATGCAGCCATGCAGTACCGATACGAGGCGAGAAGGTAGATCATTTAACAGGTGGGACTGCGCAAGCCTGAATCCAAAGGCAAACCCCAAACGAACAAACGACCCAGAGTCTTATGGTTCGGAGTCCGGAGTCATTCATAGGTACTTCTCAGGTCCCCAAACAAAAGACCATCCGTATTATGGTTTTGGGGCCCTGGTTTCATAGCAGTAGGAGTACGACTAGGAGTAATAATAGTAGTAGTAGTAGTAGTAGCAGTAGCAGCAGCAGTAGCAGTAGTAGTAGTAGTAGTAGTAGTAGTAGTAGTAGTAGTAGTGGTGATAGCATTAGTAGTAGTAGTCGTCGTCGTAGTAGTAGTAGTAGCAGTAGCAGTAGCAGTAGCAGTAGCTGTAGTAGTAGTGGTAGTATATATGGACCCTCTGCGATCGCTCATACTTGCAATCCTGTACAGCAGCTCTGGATCAGACACTATGCCTCGCAACATCTGTCAAGCTTTTACCCTGAGGCTCCACCGTTTGGGACCTAGGAAGTACCTCTAGTAGTTCCCCAAAAGGGTTCCATTAAGGGCGTTATAAGGGTTCGATCCCAAAAAGGCTCCATGTACCTATGCAACATGTACTTGTGCCCCAAAGTAGTTACATAGGGACTACATCAATGCTACTACAGTATCTACTATCATAGTGACTCTTAGGGGGATAAGGGGGAGGGACTATACTTCCTTAAATAAACCGTATTTGGTCCTTATCATGGGTATTCAAGCCCCCCTACCCCCCTCCCCCGTAATTGTCCCATGATACTAGTACCCTAAACCCTAAGCCCCTAAACCCTAAACCTTGTGAAGACATGGACACTCAGGGGTGGAAAAGCCGATGTGCTGCTGGACCCTGAGCTGAGCTCTGAATCTACAACCTGAACCCCAAATAACCTATGTACGTTTGTTAGGACTCATATAAGGAAATCATATTAGGGAACCCTAAAACGGTAGGTTATTTGAGGTCCAGGCAACCCGACTTCTTCCCCTGAGTGCCCTGTTCTCTGATCTCCCCAAGCCTCGAGCTTGTCCCGAATCCAAAAAAGATGCATATCTTGTAGTAGTATGATGCGCCCCAAAACCCTATTCTAATTATTCAGCCCCCTATATTAAAGCCCAGCTCTCCCAATTTAAACGGGTAGGGTTCCTTGTTTTAAAAGATTATTGCAAACATGCTTGAACGTAGCCCGAAACAGCATTCTAATTACTAAGTCCCCTACATTAGGGTTCTGTGGGGTCTGAACACATGTGCTAACACTCTCCATGTATACGTTGTGTTTGCACGTGCGGTACTATCCCATAGTGTCCTGAGTACTTGTTTGAGGGATTCTTACCGAAATCGTAGTGGTACTTCCTCGTTGAATGTAACATAGTTTCGACTAGGTTTGTACTTAGGGGCCTGATTGGGATCGAACCCTTATAAAAGCCCTTAAAGGCTTCTATGATACAAACCCTTAGCCCTACACCCCTAAAAATCCTAAACCCTAGACCGTTGAAGCCTTGCAGAACCTAGGACCTTCCAGATAACAGGGATGGTCTTGCGGGACCTAATTCCATGATGGTAGTATATATGAACCCTAAACCCTAAACTTCCTAAACCCTCTAGAACCCTTAAATATGATCCCCCTAATATAGATCCCTTTAAGTAACCTTTAAAGGATCCCTTTAAAGGAGCCCTACAACCCCAGGACCTTCCAGACCCGGGCCAGCAGTGCCAGTGGGGAGACCATGGCGCCGAAGCTCTACTTGGAGGTTCATGGGTAGTGATATTAAGCGGAGTTAAGTAAAGTCCCTTTAAAGGCTTCAAGGGCACCAGAAGGAGTTCGGGGCTTCGGGTAGTTCTCAGTAGAGCTATAAGTAGGGCAAGTATACTTATAACCCATACTAGGGGACTTCTCACTCCACTTATACATACTCATGAACCTCCAAGTAAGCGCAGATGTCATGACCGTGAGGCGCGAAGCTTAGAGTTTAGGGTGCTGAGGGCTTCAAAAGCGGGATTATGCATGTAGGGTTTAGGGTTTTAGGGCTTTACAGGGCTTAGGGTTTTTAGGGCTCAAGGATTATAGGGTTAAGGGGTTAGGGTTTTGGTGGGTTCTGGGGGAGTTTTGAGTTGGTTGTTGGGTTTTGCGTCTAGGGTTGGGAGGATGTGGGGCAGGAGATACTGATTTAACAGCTTAATGTTGGAACCCGTAAAGAAACTGTGGCTCTCTGTCGGACAAGGGAGGTTTAATGATAAGGTTTCTACATTATCGGGTTAAGGGCGCAGCAACAAGTTCGGTTCTGTTTCTGGGCTTGGGGCTTTTAAGAGCTTGGGTTTGGGAGTGTGGATTGTATGAGGCTCGGGGTGTATGTTTTGGACGTGGCGCGGAAACATTTGGGGTTTCCGGGTTGCTCGCTTTGGGGGTTTAGCGTTGCGGGATCGAGTTGTATGTTTCGGCGATTGCCTCCTAGGACTGTAAACTTACAGCTTATCTAGACCCCCCAAAGTAAGTAAAATAATGGCCCAAAACCTATAAAAGGCCATTATTCTACATACTTTTGGGGTCCAGGTAGGGCTCATGTACCCTAAGCCCTGAACCCTGAATTGTGGGGCCAAAGGGTGCCGGCGGTTCGATTGAGGATGGCATGGGTTGAGATGTAGGATTTGGGACCAGGGATACTTGGAGGATCATGGGACTTAGTAAGTAACGTTGTAAGTACCTTAACCCCAATTATAAGTAGTATAAGTAGTTATAAGTATAGTTACTCTAATTATAACCCTAGTTACTAAGTCCCATGACCCTTTAAGTATGATCACGCTACACTGCTTCATTGGGACAGGAGACCCAAAGTGTGCAAGTATCATTATATGTCATATACTTACAGGGTATTTTGGGGGTCTAAGTATATACCATGATGATAAAAGGACCCTTTGGGAGAGGGAACCCCACTTAAGTTTGGGACAACTGGACAACCCTAAACCTTAGACGTTGCAAGCCCTAAGCCCTAACTAAACCCCAGAAAGTAGTCAAGAGGAAGCCTATGGAACCCGACATAGCCAGGCCTTTCAAGCAGCACATGCTTCTGTGTAAATGTGGGCTAATGTGGGTTTCGGGCTGTAGGGACGGGCATTAGGGTTTATTACAGACGGCTGGTTGTTCTTCGACTTGTGGCATAGAGCTGCGGGAATTGCTACACAGGCACATGGACCCGTGGGATAAGGTCATCTCTTTCACGTTGTCGCATTCTGATGGATTTCTTTCGCTCTCTCCAACATAATTTGATAATCTTGATATTTCCCGAGCAGGACAACTCAGTAGCTACTTAGGGCCTATACAGGGCCTATACATTAATACATGGCTAATTAAAGTATATACTGTTTGAGCCCATGGACCCTCAGGGTAGGGCGAGTTGAAGGCTGATGCTTCAGTGATTGTAGGGATCGGGGAGGCAATCTTCCCGCAGCGGGTTTCTCTTGAAGCCCGGCGACTTAATTACCGTATCATGGGCTACTCGCATGGTTGCATAAGGACCGTATCTGACAATGAGAAGACCGTGGCACTCAAATTCATTATAACACTCATTACACAGCTCCTGGCACCTTAAAAAATGTATACAGTCTAGGAAAAGCTCTTTAGACCACCACCTCCAAGCTTGTTAACCCTACCATCTTGTCTAACCGTTGAGATTGAGAAACTCCCGGAACCTCCAAACGACCTAAAACCCATTTCCAGCCCCTCTCCCTCGCCAAAAGCCTTATGTAATATGGTCTTTGGGCCCAAAAGCCTTGATATATGAGCCCCCAGATGCCTAGGGTCTGAAACTTTACACCCTTAGCCTACAACTTTACAGCCCAAAGTCCCTAAACCCTGAAGCCCTCGTAGGAACCCTAAACCCTTGCACCCCGAACTCAAAGACACTAAACCCTTAAACCTGGAGCCTTCGTAGGAATCCTCGCAGGGGAAATTAGCTTACTCCCCCAATAAGCCACAAAAATTAAATGTTAAATTTTCCGATTCCTACTAATCTACAAGAACCCCAAAAGTTTAAAGGTTTGGTATTGGGGATCTGAGTTAGAAAGTGCCCCATATCGATACCTAGTTTAACCCTCAACCCTAAGACCTGCAACCCTTAAGACCTGAAGCACTTGAGCCCTCGTAAGAACCCTTACACTTCGAGGTTCATGGGTAGTGATAAGTGGAGCTACAAGGCCCCAACTATGGGTTATAAGTATAGTTACCTTACCTATAACCCCACCTTATAACCCCACTTACAACTACCCCTGAGCCTCCAAGTATGTAGGCCCTAAACCCTATACCCCCTTTTGGAATCCCTAGAGGTCCCTTTAAAAAGACCCTTCAAGGAACCCTAGGGATCCCTAGCCCCCATAGGCTAAAACCCCTTTTGGCCTCCTATGAGAACCCCAACAGCCCAAAGCCTCCGCCCGGTGAGGTTTCCAGCGCAGAAGACCCTCAAAGGAACCCTGAACCTCCAAGCAGGCACCCTCGAAGGACCGAAATCTCCTCGAGGAGCTGCTCCGTCAAGGCCTCCTCAGCCTGGGAATTGGAAACTCTACCCTCCTAGGGCTCCTTAAGAGGGATCTATAGGGTAGGGCTCCTTAAAAGGGATCTATAGGGGCTCCTTAAAAGGGATCTTTAGGGGCTCCTTAAAAGGGATCTTTAGGGGCTCCTTAAGCCGAAAAGACCTACCTTTTTAAGGAACTCTATATAGAAACCATAATAAGGAACCCTAAAAAGGTAGGTCTTTTCGGCTACAGGTAGGCCCTTGAGGGTTTAGGGTTGAGCGTTGGGGTTTGGGGTCGAGGGTGGGGGTTGAGGGTTTAGGGGTTAGGGTTAGGGGTTTAGGGTTTAGGGGTTAGGGTTTAGGGGTAAGGCTAGGGTTTGGGGGTTTGGGGTGTCCGGATCCTTTCAGGGTTTAGTTTTGACGGATTTGGGACTAAGGGCTCAGAGTTCCGCTCAGGGCTCCTCCAACCTAAGGCTCAAAATACCCCAAAAGCCTTATATTGTATGGTCTTTGGGCCCAGAAGCCTTCTCATATGAGTCCTTGGAGCCTTAGCGTTCGCCTGCAGACTCCAAAATAAGGTGCCTCAAGGTCCTGTAAAGGTTGCTAATAGGGTCCGAGGGGTACTTAAAAGGGTCATGGGAATGAGTGACTCAGGCTGAAAATAAAGCAACTTTGCTTAGGAACACTTGTAGCTGCGCAAAAGACACTTATGACCTTACATTACTTACATTCTAACGCTAAGAATCCCTCCCTGCACCTTTGTAGTATATACTACCTCGGCCACAATGTAGCTACATAGGAACCTCTCTAAGGCCTATAGAATATGTACATATATATATATATATAACAATAAGGATACCATTCTTCCTCCTATTCGGTCTTAAGGAGGATCCAAAGCCATCAAGTGCAAAAGGGTACTACCGGGAACCTAGATACAGGACGTTGAACACTGACTCCGGTGCCCTAGTCACATGAATTCAGGGGCTGAAGACCCTTGGGATCTTGTCCGCTTCCTCTTCCGACTTCGCTTCGACTAAGAACATGAAAAATCAAGCCTAATGTTGAAGGAGCAGTCCGTCCTCCATTGCCATGATCGTCCTGATGACCGCCTTGGGGGACGAGGTCGTGCGCAACATGCACTGCCCCCTCCCGGGAAGTAAGTGTAACAAGACGTTCTTTTGCATGGTATAGCTCATGTGGCTCTGCATCGAGTCCGCCAACTGCTCCGTGTTGTGGGTCTCCCTCTCCTTCTTGTGCTTCGGCTGTCCCAGAGACTCAAATCCATGAGCAGATCTATAGCTTGTGTATATAGGCACGTGCAAGTAGTACATGGTTCCCCAGTAACACCAGTTGAATAATGACGGTACCCTTTTCCTAATCTTCCGGAAAGGGGTGCGACTCGGGAACCTAGGACATCTAAATCCTGAATCCCTAAACCCTACACAATAAATCCTACACCCTAAACACTAAATCTTAAACCCTAACCCAAAACCAAAACCCTGAAGAGTATTAGCCTTGGAGCCCCAAATCTTTCAATCCAGCGTTTCGTGTTTAGGATTCGCACAGGGTCCAAGGGTCCAAAGGACCCAATAATTGGATACTCGGTTGTAGGATAGTAGTTATGTAGGTTAGGATTTTGGAGAGTATATGATTATTAGGTACTTGGACCCTTGGGGCAAGGTACTGTTATGGGGGATACTTGCCTAAATCATAACATGGCTCCACTGACATCCCTTTTATCAAGCATCGGAATCGCAGCAAGAATCATCCCTCATGTTCCAACTTTTCGGGGTTCGCTATAAGGTCCAGTGTTCATAAAAGGCGTAAGGCCGGGGAATTATCATGAGGGTCAGGGTTTAGGGTTTCAGGTTTGGAGTTTAGGGTGTAAGGGCAGGGTTTAGGGTTCAGGCTAGGGTTCGGGGTTCATAATACGGTTGAATGTCACGCCTTGCGGCTGGGTCATTCCTCCGAAATACAAGCAGCTTGGACTGAACGAATACACATAGTATGTATGTATGTATATATATATATATGTATAATGAAATGGTTCCATAAACCACAGACCTCCTATTCTTAAACAGAAGCCAAGACATTCCCGACCTGGGTGGGCTTGCCAAGAGAGATGGGATCGGTGATGCCCAGACTGCCGGCACGCTTCACGGTAGCAGAGCTTTGGGTTTAAGGGTTTAGGGTTTGGGGTTTAGGGTCCAGGGTCTAGGGTTTA